TAACATTCCAAGGTCCCTGACTTACACAGGCCTTGCTTTTGGGTGTGGTTTCCGCTATCTGTTTCCTGCACCACTGGGTCTATCTCCTTCCTCCAGAGCATCCTTGGGGCCAGACATACCTGGCACTTGGCCTGCAGCCTTCCACAGTCAACACAGAGCCCGGCCCTTTGGGGAAGCCTTGTGTAAACAAGCCTGAGTCACACAACCTGATCAAGATGGTGTCCTAGCAAGTCAGCCAAGGTTAGCCATGCAGCCAGTTATCTGGGTCAGCTTTTGAGCATACAGGAAGACTAATAGCAATAATAATGATAATAAAAATAATAATTAAGATGTCAGCTCCATGAAGACAGAGACTGTCTGTTCTATATCCTCTGTTTTTGGGACAGTACCTGCCAAACAGTAGGGGCTCAATGCAGCCCCATTTTGGTTGGTTCCAGGCTACTACAATAAAGCAAGTCATATACATTTCTTTTTTTTGCCAGTGCAAAATATGTTACAAAAAAAAAAAATACAAGAGTTATAGCTATACTACATGTACAATGGCATTAGGTCTAAAAAAAATACCATAATATCTTAAGTTAAAAGACTGTATTGTTAAAAGATGCTAACCATTATCTGAGGCTTTGGTGAATCATAATGTTTTTGCTGGCAGAGGGTCTTATAAAAAAAGAAATATTTCATGGGCCTCCCTGGTGGCGCAAAGGGTTAAGCGTCAGCACTATGAAGCTATTGGCAGCCATGGCAGCACGAGTTCTATCCCCCGGCCAGGGAGGTGACCCACATGGCGCAGCAGACCTCTCCTGTCTCGCCCGCTGCTCCCCTCAGCAGTGTATTTCAGTAGATCTGACTGTTCTGCTCCCCACTCTGTCTCTGCTGAATCCTCACCCCCTGCACCTCTGGCCTGCACCGCAGTTCTTGATGCATAAATAAATAAATCTTAAAGCAAACTAGCATACCTCTGTCATATAGAGGAGAACAAAGCAAACAAAATCCCTGCCAACAAAATCCTGCCTTCGTGGTGCTTATGTACTTGTGGGGAGTTAGGAATAAACAAAATATCACTGATATGGAGAAAAATAAAGCAGGAAACTGGATAAAGGAAGGCTGGGGTGAAATTCTGATTTTAATTAAAGTGCTCAGGGTAGGGCTTGTTAAGTAAGTAACATTTGCCCAAAGGAGCAAACGTTTCTCGGAGGATGTGAACAAGAAATGTTCCAGATGGAGTGGAGGGCAAGTGCAACGATCCTGGAGCAGGACAGAGCCCGGCATGTCAGAGCCCCTGCGGCTGGGGCAGATTGGGGCGCGGAGAGGGAGGAGTTGAGGGCCTGTCCTGGGCCTAAGGAGGACTCGGGCTTTGACCAGGAAGGAGGTGGTGGTCCTGGAGGACTGTGGGCAGAGGAGGGCTTGGAATCTGACTCAGGTGCTCACAAGCGCCCTGTCGTGGCCACTCTAGGGAAGACAGACTGTGCGGAGAAGGGCCACACCCTGGCAGAGTCCAGGAGGAAGAATCCACTCCCACAGGCAGGCAATCATGGGCCAGACCCTGATGGGGGCAGAGAAGAGACAGTCCTTTGTTTCCCCCCCAGTTTTTTTTTTGTTTTTGCCATTTCAAATGTTGTAGAATGATTCTTTTTCAATTTTAGAAAAATTACTGTCAACTAAATTCCTCAAAATGGATTTACAGACTCAAAGACTCTATATCTAAAAGTTAAAAACCTTTTCAAATGTCTAACTGTAATGTTAAATACTGAGGTTAGAAGTAGCCTTCCTGGGCCTCCCTGGTGGCGCAAGGGGTTAGGCATCGCACTATGAAGCAATCGGAAGCCGCTGCAGCACAAGTTCAAACCCCAGACAGGGAACAGCCCACATGGTGCAGCAGACCCCTCCTGACTCGCCCGCTGCTCCCCTCAGCAGTGAATTTTACTCAGTCTGCCTGTTCTGTTCCCCACTCTGTCTCTGGTGAATCCTCTCACCCCCTGCATCTCTGGCCTGTACCCCAGCTCTTGTGTGCACAAATAAATAAATCTTTTTTAAAAAGTAGCCTTCCTTTACCCTGCCCCCTATTTTTCAATGTCTTATTATGAAAACTTACAAATGTGTAACATTTTGCTATATTTGCTCTACTATGGATCTGTCCATCTTATTCATTACATCGATAAAAATTTAATGCACATAAAATAAGTTGCACACTTCACATCTATTAGGATGGCTACTATCATAAATGTGGAAAATAACAAGTGTTGGTGAGAATGTAGAGAAGTTCTAATCCTTATGTACTACCAGTGGAAATCCAATAGTGCAGCTTCTGTGGAAAATAGTTTAGTGGTTTCTGGAAATGATAAACAGAATTACGATATCATCCAGAAATTCCACTGTTAAATGTATACCCACAATATTTGAAAATAGGTAATCAAATAGACACTTGTATACCTATGTTCACAGCAGCATGATTCACAATAGCCAAAGGGTGGAACCAACCCATGTCCATTATGAAGGAATGGATATACACAATGTGGTCCCTCCACCTGTGAAATATTCAATCTTTTTAAAAAATATTTATTTTATTTATACCAGAACCGGGGCACAGGCCGAATGTGCAGGAGGTTGAGAGGATTCACCAGAGACAGAGCAGGGAACAGAACAGGCAGACTGACTGAAACACACTGCTGAGGGGAGCAGCGGGAGAAACAGGAGAGGTCTGCCCCACCATGTGAGTATCTCCACGGCTGGCTGGAATCAAACTTGCACTGCAGAGGCTACGGACAGCTTCACAGTGCTGCACTCAACCGCCTGCGCCACTAGGGAGGCCCTGAAATATTCACTCTTAAGGGCCTCCCTGGTGGTGCAAGGGGTTAAGCACAGCACACTGTTAAGCTATCTGCAGCCTCTGCAGCACGAGTTCTATCCCCGGCCAGCCAGGAAGCTACCCACATGGTGCAGCAGAACACTCCTGTCTCATCTGCTGCTCCCTTGAGCAGTGTATTTCAGTCAGTCTGCCTGTTGTGTTCCCCACTGTCACTGGTGAATCCTCTCAACCCCTGCACCTCTGGCCTGTACCCCAGTTCTTGTATGCATAAATAAATCTTTAAAAAAATACTCAATCTGGGTCCTCCCTGGTGGCTCAGGCAGTTGAGCGCAGTGCTGTGAAGCTGTCCGCAGCCTCTGCAGTGCCGGTTCGATCCCCGCTGGCTGTGGAGCAACCCACATGGTGTGGCGGTCCTCTCCTGTTTCAACCACTGCTCCCTTCGGTAGTGTATTTCGGTCATTCTGCCTGTTCTGTTCCCCATCTGTCTCTGGTGAATCCTCTCACCCCCCACACCTCTGGCCTGTGCCCAGTTCTTGTATGCATAAATAAATAAATCTTTAAAAAAAATACTCAATCTTAAAAAGGAAGGAACTTCTGACGCATACTCCAACATGGGTGAATCTGGAGGACACTATGCTCAGTGACATAAGGAATTGGGGTGAAGTTCAGAAACACAGAAAAATAATAGAGGTTACCAGGGCTGTGAATGGAGCTGTGAATATGGGTATGTGATGATCTGTGTGAGCCCTTGCTTTCATTTCCTTTGGGTTCTTATATAAGTGCAGGATTGTTAGGTCATATGTTAGCTCAATGTTCAACTTTTTAAGGACCCCCTCCCCATACTATTTTGGCTTCCCTTTTCTTGTGTGGACAGCAGCCTGGTGACAGCCAGAAGTAGCTTGAATCTTTGTAGGGGAAGTAAAGATGAGGAAAGTGCCTGGATTCTGACCCTGATTCAGAGGTAGAATCAGCAGGACGATGGATGAACAGGATGGGGAGGGTGATGGTAAATGGCAGCCCTATGCTCCCAGATAATTACATCAAAACCTTGTACCAGGCCTCCCTGGTGGTGCAAGGGGTTAAGATGCAACCTATGAAACTATCTGCAGCCACTGCAGCATGAGTTCAATCCCCAGCCAGGGAGCAACCCACATGGCGCAGCAGACTTCTCCTGACTTGCCCGCTGCTCCCCTCAGCAGTGAATTTCAGTAAATCCACCTGTTCTGCTCCCCACTCTGTCTCTGGTGAATCCTCTCACCCCCCCACACCTCTGGCCTGTACCCCAGTTCTTGCATGCATACATAAATAAATCTTTTAAAAAAACAAACAAAAAAACCTTTATACCTATCCTCAACAGGACTTTCTCTCAAATTTCATATCCAATACACCCATAAATCCTGTTTTCTCCACCCTCAAAATTAACCTAAAATTGGAGTACTTCAGGTCTCTCTGCTTCAACCCTATTGCCTGTTTTCTATTCCCCAGAGGAAGTGTCTGTTAGCACCTAAGTCAGGGCATACCATTTCCCTAATTACTCCCGTGACTTCTCATTTTATCAAAGTTCTGGGTGGCTGTCCCCCCAAATCCTCACGTCTCCGTCCCTCAGCTTTCAAGTCTTTACTCAAACGTCACCACCTCAGACGCTGGCCACTCCTCACACGGCACATGGCATGCCGGCACCGCCTTGACAGCATAACATGTGTAACTACACATATTACGTATTTTGTTTATCTCCTGTATTGTCCATCTCCCTCAGACAACCAGACTATGAGATTTATGAGGGTAAGGGATGCAGGCTGTCTTGTCCTTCGCGTCCCTTAACTGTTAAGTGAATGAATGAACTATGGGATGTGTCTTCCCAGTCTAGCATCTCGCCCCGCCCACTGGCCCCGCCCACTGGCCCCGCCCCTGGATTTTGGCCACGCCCCAGATAAGCGGCGTCAGCTACGCGCCTGTTCCGGGGAAGTCGGAACAAACCATTTTTATTTGTCATACTGGGGGGGAGGCGGAGAAAAATCACTTCCTGGAAAAAATGAAAACTCCTCTTCCCTGCCTTGAGGATGTCCTTAGACTCCGTCTAGTATGTGAGTGTGAGCCATGGCACTGGTATCGACTCGCTCTTCCAGACCTCTCCCCGCCGCGGAGTCATTGGCCACCCCCCTCCGGGCTGCGCTGGTGCCGTCCAGGCCGGTCACGTGGGCGGGAAGATGGCGGCTCTCACAGCGCGCTGAGAGCGTGTCGGCTGGTGAGGCCGTGGAGACGGCGGCGAAGGTGGAAGCGGGCGGACTTACCTTTTCTGGTGTTTCAAGAGCTCACGGTGGGGAGGAGTACGGTGCGGTACTCGGGCCTGGTGGGTGGGCACGTAGAGGGCCTGGGATGCGTTGGCTGGGGTTGTGGGAACCCCCCTCTTGAGGGGTCCCAAGTACTGGCGAGCTCATTCACTCGGAGTCAGGGGACCCTGTCTTCGGGGATCCCTTCCCTGGGGGACTCGGGGAGCCAGACATACACGAGTGTGTTTGTGGGATGGGATCCCATAGCAGGTGTCGCGTTTCTCGGAGAACCAGGTTGTAACCAGAATTCTGTGATCCCATTGACAGGTCTCGAAGCGTCGAGTTTCTGGGGCAGTCCTCGCAGGAGCTCTGGAGAGGCGGTCGTCGGTGGGGCATCCTGCGAAAATCCCTGAGAGATCCCGTGTTGGAGCCACTCCTTCTTTCGGGGAAGTCTACTTACTGCAGATATTTTTGCATATTTCTTTAGAGCGGTCTGTAGTAGGGGGGTCGAATTTCGAGTATCCAGGTCGTCTCTTCCTCGATCTCTAACTCATTTGGGGTGAGTGGATTCCTTTGGTTGGGGATGATTCCTACAACCCCACATCCATTCCCTTGCTGCCTTCCTAATGAAAAATGGGTGTACGTGTGAGGTGCAGGCCTCCAGGTGGCCGGATGTAATCTCTCTGAGCACAGCGGTGGGTGTTGTGCTCCCTGCAGAAGTATTTACCAAGTGTGCACTAGCTACCGGACTGGTACTAGGTGCTGCAGGAGCTGCCTTCACTCCTAGGTAACTCTGTGAGGTCCATGTGCTCTTATATACTCATTTTAGGTATGTTTCAGGTTTTATTCTGTGTTTCAAGTGCTTAGTAGAGGAGCCTGGCAGGCAGTAGGTGTTTTGTTCTTTCAACAGTACTTATTGAATGCCTCCTGCTAAGGTGACAGGCACTGTGCTAGGCACTGAGACACAGTAGTGAACAGAGTAGTGTGTATATATATACATATACATTTACATGCACAGAGTCATGTGTCACTTAAGGATGCAGCTGCCTTTTGAGAAATGCATTGTTAGATGATTTCATCATTGTGTGAACATCATCAGGTAATTAATTACACAAACCTCGGTGGTATAGCCTGCTATACTCCTAGGCTATAGCCTGCTGGGACCACTGTTGTAAATTTAATCCATCCTTGACCCAAACATGTCAATGTGTGACTGTATGTGTGTGTGTATGTATATGTATATTAGGTGTATATTACTTTCTTGTAGGAGACAGATCAGGATAGAAGGTGAGGTGCAGTTAGACAGTGGAGAACAGTAAAGCAGCAAGGAGGGGGTGGGGTGGGGTGGTTTGCATTGTTAAAGTAGGGTGGTCACAGAAGGCCTCCCTGAGAAGGTCATATCTGAGCAGAAACTCAAAGGAAGTTTGAGTGAGGTTTGAGTTGTGAGTTGTTAGTTTTATTCCACGTGAAGAACCTGAGCTCAGAGATGTTTGTTCCCATTCAGGGCTCACCCTAGAATTCCATAACCTCTCCTCTCTGTAGCAGGAGTTGCCTTCTGGGCCACATATCCCCGTCTTTCCCAGGAGTTTAAGGTCCCGGGCATGAGGAGGTCATGAGCAAGTCTTTCCCAGCTGTCCAGAGGAGCCCCTGCCCAGCTGGAGTTAGGAGTCCTGGGTCCTCTCTGCCCCTGACTTGCTGTGTGACCCTAGACAAGTCATTGCTCATCTGTGTAGAGAGGAGTTGGAGCTCCATGGTCCCTCATGTTTTGCTCCTCACTCTGGCTTCTGTACTCTTGGGAGGTGTCACCTGCTTTGATAGTCACCTCAAGCAACTGCACGTCCCTCATGAAACCTGGTCAGCCCTGCTGATACCTCTGAGGACTAGAAGGCTGCTGGCGTGTCTCGGCCTGCTTGACACGTTTATGAAGCGACTTCCAGGTCCTCATTGGTCTAGAGGGTGGAGAGGGGACCCTTCCAGCCTCAGCTGTGTCATTATTGTCATCCAGCCAGTAGAGCTGTTGTGGTTTAGAGCTTGGCTTAGGAGCCCAACTGCCTGGATTTATAGCTCTTTACTATTCTAAGCAAGTTATAACCTCCCTGTGCTTGTTTCTCTCCTTTGAAGGGTGACACTCATGCCTGTCTCATAGGGTTATGGTGAGGATTAAATGAGTCCATGGATGTAAAGGGTTTAAAAGAGGTACCTGGCATGGAGCGAATGCTGCACAAATGTCAGCTGCTGTTGCTCTCATGGTTATTTTTTTTTGAGGACCTACTATGTGTCGGGAGTATAGTGGCAACTAAGATACTCTGTCCCTTCAGAGTTCTCATATTCTAGTGAGGTATAAGACTGACCATATGCAGCTAAGCCGATGACACCCAATAGGATGTGCAGTGGTGGTGATTGCTTTGAAGAGAGAGAAAGCAGAACAAGGGGTCAGTCATTGAAGACTATGGACAGGGAAGGCTTCCCTGAGGAGGGGGCATTTAGGGGAGACTGTTCCTGAGGGAGAGAACATCTCATAACAAGATCCCAGGACAGGATTGTGACTGGCATGGTGAAGGAACAAGGAACAGTGAAGAGACCAGTGTGACTGGAGCAGTAGGAGAGGGAGAGGGAGGGAGGAGGTAAGGGCAGAGAGGTGACAAGGACAGGTCATGCAGGACCTTACGGGCTCTCAGAGAGTTTGGAGAAAACAGGCACCATAGGATATTAGAAAGGAGTAACATGGTCACTTTATATACTATTGGGTTTCCTATTATGTGGTTTATGGTGTGTAACAGATCACCCCCTGCTTAGCTATAAGCATAGTAAATACTACCTCACACCATTTCTGTGGGCCAGGGGTCTGGATCTGGCTTAGTGGGTTAGTTCTGCTTCTAATCTCTTGTGATGCTCCCTTCAAAGCTTGGCTGGGTTGTATCCTCTGGACTGGCACCCGGGGGGGTGGCTCTCAATGTACCACTCTCATGTAGGTGCTGGCAGGAGCCTCGGTTTCTTGTTAAGTGAGATACTACATATGACTGAGCCTCCTCACAATATGGCTGACTACCCCCAGAACAAGTGATTCCAGAGAGAACAGGTGGAGGTCATAGAGCCCCTTATGACATGACCTCAGAAGTCTCTGTCATTTCCTCCATATTCTATTATCTATACCCAGCAGCCCTATTCAGTGTTGGAGAAGGCCACACAGGGCGTGGCTACCAGGATGTGGGAGTCACCGGGGGCTCTGAGTGGGCCACAGTCTCTCTGACTACTGAGGGGCGAGCAGACTATTGGAGATCATGGCTGAAGTATAGGCGAGAGGCCCAGGGAGGGAGAGTGACTTATTGAAGGCCACACCACAAGTAGGTGGGGCCAGAGCTCAGCTTTGAACACAGCCACCCAGCTGGTCATCGGTTAGGAACCCACCCGGCCAGGTCCTAAAATGAACAAGTCAGTTAACGGATAAAAAGTACCTCTAACTAGCCTCTGCTTCTCCATGTAGGTTCTTGTGCTCTCTAATCCCCGGATTTAGCTGGGGCAGGGCTATCTAGGCATACCCACCGTTGAAGGAGGCAGGCGCCATGGTGACAGAGCAGGAGGTGGAGGCGATCGGGCGGACACTGGTGGACCCACAGCAGCCCCTGCAGGCCCGCTTCCGTGCACTCTTCACCTTACGTGGGCTGGGTGGCGCGAGTGCCATCGCCTGGATCAGCCGGGCCTTCTCTGATGACTCTGCCCTGCTCAAACACGAGCTGGCCTACTGCCTGGGCCAGATGCAGGACGCCCAGGCTATCCCAGTGCTGGTGGATGTGCTGCGTGACACCCACCAGGAGCCCATGGTGCGCCACGAGGCAGGTGAGTGGGGCTGGGGCATGGGCGTCTGGCCTATGCCTCATCCATCGGGTTCATGCCGCCTCATCTCCTCCCTGCCCCCTCCGCCCTCTCCCCCATGTCGGCTCATGCACATATGACCTCTCCCAGGGCTGAGTGACTAGCTCTGTAAGAGGCCGGTAGAGATATTTTCAGCCCCATGACTGGCTTGTTGCCTCTTGCCTTTGTAGTAGAAAAGACACCATCAGCCACAGCTAACCCCCATGTCTGTTTCTCAGTCGTTTCCTCGTCAGACCAGCGCCAGGGCTTGCCTGCTATGTGCCACGCCCTGTCCTCACCAGGGACACAGACTGTAAACAAGGCAAATGAGGAATTTCCTTGGCGAGTCTGTTGCTGAGGCTGTTTCTATAACCACTGAGCTCATTTGCAGATGGTGGGGTTGGGGGAGGAGGCCTGTGTTTCCATTTGATTGTTTGGGGGTATTTTTAATATTGTCTGAGTCCCCACCTTACTGGATGGCCCTCTTGGACTCCCCCAATAACTTGAGATTCCAGCCATGTTTGTGTGGGCGCTCCCTCCCGGTCCTCGTTCTGCTATTTTGAGTGTGTTTTTGTGGAATACCCAGTGGAGTCATGGGGCGGGGGGCACCTAAGTGCTAAGGGCGAAAATAAAGCAGGGGCAGGGCCTCCTCGGTGGTGCAGTGGTTGAACGCTGGGCTGCGAAGCTGCCCGTAACCTCTGCAGTGCCAATTCGATCCCCGGCCTCTGGGCGAGGGTCCCACATGGCACACAGACTTCTCCTGCCACCCGCTACTCCCCTCAGCAGTGTACTTTGTCATTCTGCCTGCTCTGCTCTCCCCTCTGGCTCTGGTGAATTCTCTCACCCTCCCGCGCTTCTGACTATACCCAGTGCTTGTTTAAATGTTAAAAAAAAATAAAGTAGGGGCAGACTAGGGGAGCTGAAAAACTGGAGGTGTTGCACTTAATGAGGTGTTGCTATTTTAATTAGTGGGGAGAGGTTTTCCAGGTAGAGAGCATGGCACGTGCAAAGGGCATGAGGCAGGCTGGGCCTGGTGCCTTCGAGGAACAGCATGGAGGCCATGTGGCTGGAGCAGAATGAGTGAGGGGGAGGATGTGAGGCAGTGAGGTCAGGGAGCAGGTGGCGGCGGGGTGTGCAGGGTCTATGGGCACCCTCAATTTAGGCATGTTAAGACATTCCTGTTCTGGAATGTCAGGCCTCCTCCCCGCTCAGCCCCGGTCTGTGCCCGTGGAGAAGTAGCAGAGCTCCTCTGTGGTCGACAAGGCCTGTCCAGCCTGAGATCCACTGACCGTTGTTTTGTGCTGGATGCCTCCCACTGCCTGCCAGCAGTTCCTACTGCACCCTGCCTGTCACTCAGGGTCTTGCCATGTGACATCCCCTTACTCAGAGGCCTTCCTATCAAGCCCTGCCTTGGTTGGTGAACCCTTGTCCCCCATATTGCAGCTTAACACCTCCTCCTTGGGGAGCTCTCCCTGACTGACAAATTATCTGAATGGTCTTGGAGCGTTGTCCTCTGTGTCCCCAAGTTATAATGACATGCTTGTCTGGGTCTCCCTCTTTAGGCTATGAACTTGGGGGTGTGGGCCGAGGAGGGTTCCCAGCCCAGTTCCACTCAAGTTCAATTTCTGGGGCTATTCTGATAGCCCAGCACTGACACAGGCAGAGCTGTAGGGAGGGGACAGAAGACACCAGAGAACCCATGTTCCCCTACCTTTCCCCCAAGTATCCAGCGTGTTTCCCAGCCAACATGTACTCTACTTGGTTCTTCTCAGGGGAGGCCCTGGGCGCTATTGGGAACCCGGAAGTCCTGGAGGTCCTGAAGCAGTACTCCTCTGACCCTGTCATCGAGGTAACGAGCCCCGCCCGCCTCTCCCTGCATTCTTAGTTGGGGTTTGGGAGAGAAGGAGCAGCCGGGATGGGCCCTGGCCACCATCCCCCTTGGGCAAAACTGAACTGATCCCCACGTGACAAACCTGCCCTGTTCAGCCTCTGGGTCCCTCCCTGTCTCTGCGCCCCCAGATCTAGCCCCTCCACCAGGATCCCCCCCAGAAGCCTACCCCACCCTCTTGCCCCCCTGCCTCCTCCTGTCCTTTTCTCCTTTCTTTTTTTTTTTTTCTTTCTTTTTTATTTAAAGATTTATTTATTTATTTATACAAGCACTGGGTACAGTCAGAAGCATGGAAGGGTGAGAGAATTCACCAGAGCCAGAGCAGGGAACAGAACAGGCAGACTGACGAAATACACTGCTGAAGGGAGCAGCGGGCGGCAGGAGAGGTCTGCGCGCCATGTGGGACCCTCGCTGGCGGCCAGGGATGGAACCAGCGCTTCAGAGGCTGCAGGCAGCTTCGCAGCCCAGCACTGAACCGCTGCGCCACCAGGGGAGGCCCTCTTTTTTTCTTTAAATAATAGTTTTAATTATTCACTGTAGCCCAGAGTTGGAAACAATTGAAGTATTAATCAGTGGATGAATGGATAAAGATGTGAGTGGAATATTCAGTTTTAAAAAGGACAGAGATTCTGATACTAAAATGTGGATGAACTTTGATGACGAGCACAGTAGAACAAGCCAGACGCAAGAGGACAAATACAAATGAGTCCACTTAACATGACACACCAAGAATAAACTCACAGAGGCAGGAAGTGGACGGGACGGGAGGAAGAGATGAGTGCGCGAAGCCGAGGAGCAGTGCTTCCGGGCGTGGGGTTTCAGCTTGGGGTGACGATGCTCTTGAGACCAGTGGGGACGGCTGCACAGCAGTGAGAACGAGCTCAGCGTCACTGCACCTTGCCCTCCAAAATAGTTAAAGTGCTAAATTTTATGTGTGTTTCTAAAATAAAATTCAAGCCTCTCCCCAATAAAAAGCTTTATTGGGATAGTCCTATCATAAAGCTCACTTTGAAAGTATACACCTCAGTGGCTCTAGTGTATTCAGAGTTGTGCAATTATCACCACTGTGACTTCAGAGCAGTCCATCACCCCAAAAAGAAACCCCACCCTCATTAACAGTCACTTCCCATCTCCCACCTGCAGCCCCCGGCACCACAAACTCACTCTGGCTGTGCCTGTCCCAGATGTTTCTCGTCAGTGGGCTCCCACACCTTATGGCCTCATGTATCTGGCTTGTCTCCCTGAACATCAGGTGTTCAAGGTCCTCCCGGTGGTCTCGAGTGTGGAAGCTGCCCCCCTTTTCATGGGCGAGTCGTATTCCAGTGTGGGGAACACCTTGTGTGTTACCCATTCCTCTGGTGCGGGCATGGCTGTCCCACTCTGTACCACTGAGTCACGCTGCTGTGAACACTTACCCTGGCTTTACTCTGGCTGAGCTTTAGAAACAGCGATGAGGGACCAGATGTTGAAGGGCGGGAATAAGGGAGGACTTGGGGGTCTTGGGTTCTAGCCTGAGCACCTGCCAGGGTGGGGCTCCCTGTGGGTTCGCCATGCATTGCTCACGGACTCTCTGGTCAGGGCATGCTGTGTGTGGTGGGTGGGCAGTGGCCTTACCTTCTCGCTTTGTGGTCTCTGCCTCTCTGCCATGGCCAACCGCCCAGTGGTGCGTTTCTCGCACATATCCTGCCGCGAAGCGATGTGCGGCCGTTCCCCTATGTTTACCCCTCCTCGGCGAGTGGGCATTCGGGCTGTGTCCACTTCTGAGCACTGTGAAGGACGCTGCTGTACACGAGCGTGCTGCTTTATTGTGTGCACATGGGTGGCGGCTTCTCACTCGCTGTCTTATGCCCACGCCTTCCCCTCCCTGTCCTCTCAGCAGCCGGAGGATGTCTCAGTCTGTTGCCTTATTCTAGGCCTAAAGGCCTCATGAGTTATCACCCTAAAGATAAAATCTCAGTCCTTGCTGTGGCCCCGAGAGCCTGACCCCAACGACCCCACATCACCCGGGTTCCTCTTCCCTGACGTGCCTGCGTGCTCTTGCTCTGTGCCTTTGCAAGGGCCATTTCTACCTGAGCCCCCCTCGCTGCTCCTGGGCTCTCCTATGATGTCACCTGTGCATGGAGCCCCTCCTAGGCCCAGGCCCCTCAGCAACCCCCATCACACCAGCCCCCACTGGCTTTCCACTCTGGACTGATGGGTCAGCGCCTGTGTCTGCTGTCTCTCACCCCTGGTGAACCGGAGACCTGGAGGGCGGGGCAGGGGCTGTCATGTCCACTGTGGTGTCCCAGTGGCTGGCCCAGACATGGGGCACCCCTCTGCCTGCAGGTGGCTGAGACGTGCCAGCTGGCTGTTCGGCGGCTGGAGTGGCTGCAGCAGCGTGGCGGGAAGCCAGTGCTGGCCGGACCCTACCTCTCAGTGGACCCGGCGCCGCCAGCTGAGGAGCGAGACGTGGGGCAGCTGCGAGAGGTGCTGCTGGATGAGACCCGGCCGCTGTTTGACCGATACCGGGCCATGTTTGCCCTGCGTGACGCCGGTGGCGAGGAGGCCGCCCTGGCACTGGCTGAGGGTGAGAAGAGGCCCAGGGACTTGAAGTCATGGTCATGCCCCTTGGGGAGACTCAGAGGCTGCCTCTTCGAAATGCAGCAACAGCGTCCCAGGGAACATGTACCCTGGTCTGGGTAGGCCCCAGCATTCCCAATGGGCTTTACTCAGATCACCTCATTTCTCACAGCTGGTGGTCAGTCATGACCCCCAGATCTCTATGGGAAAACTGGAGCCCAGAGGGTAGAGGGACTTGCCTGAGGTCACAGTGGTCAGTGAGCGGCAGAGGCGGGACCTGGACCCCGAGACTTGGCTCCAGGGCCCTTAACTCCTTCCTCCCAGCTCCTGGGGCACCCTGCGCAGGCCTCAAACTGTCCTGCTTACAGAGGAGAGGGAGAGGTAGTGGTGCTCGCCCCCCCTCACACACACTTGCATGGTGTGCCAATGAGGACTCAGGCCGCTTGCTCTCTGTCCTCGCAGAGCTTCCTGTCTGGCGGGGGAGAGGCCTGGCTGTCACTGTGGCCCCAAGCTGGCAGTGGGAGTGGCAGGAGGGGCCAGGTGGCCTGGGTGATGAGGGTTTGTGATGCTTGAGGGCAGGGGCTGCACAGTTAGGCAGCCAGCCTTGAACTGGGGCCTCTGATGGTCTGTGGAAAACAAGTTCACAGCACCCCCGAAGTGTGATTGAGCTGCGGGGTGACATTGGACTCTGGCATCTAGGTTCGTAGCATGGCCCCGGTAAGATGGGCGGAGTGGACCAGGCCTGCAGGCACCACGTCTGCCCAAGCTGTTCCCAGTGCAGGCTCGGGGGACTTCATTACTTGCTGTGCCCTCTCCTGGCTTCTCCTGCCCCAGTGCCTCGAACTCCCTCCTCTGTGCTGTGCTGACCACCTAGGGCCCAGGGCAGGGTGTCATGGAGACAGGAGGCTCCGTCCCACCCCATTTGGGCCTTAGGAGTCCCCCTGCCCCCATGGCACTGCTGAGACATTGAGCCGCCCTCCTTCTGTCCACAGGCCTACACTGTGGCAGCGCCCTCTTCCGCCATGAGATTGGCTATGTCCTGGGTCAACTGCAGCATGAAGCGGCCGTGCCCCAGCTGACGGCGGCCCTGGCCCGGCCAGCCGAGAGTCCCATGGTGCGGCACGAGTGTGCAGAGGCCCTGGGAGCCATCGCCCGGCCTGCCTGCCTGGCTGCCCTGCGGGCCCACATGGCCGACCCCGAACGTGTGGTGCGAGAGAGCTGCGAGGTGGCCTTGGACATGTACGAGTACGAGAATGGGCAGGCCTTCCAGTACGCCGATGGGCTGGAGCAGGTGCGGCTGCCCTGCTCCTAGGGCCGCCGCCTGCTCTGCCCGGGACCCTGGCCCTCTCGGGACACATAAACTGAGTTTGTATGAGCTGGATCTTGCTAGTATCCACTTGGTGAGCACCACGCCTGCTTCAGTAGCTTGGCTCCCCCAGTATATTACAAGTTTCTCAGGGCTGGGCTGAGGGCTGTGTTCCCCAGCCCGCCAGGGGTCTAGTATGGGGCTGCAGTGCCCAGCTTTCTGGGTATATGGATGGGTTGTCGGCTTGGGAGGGAGGATTATATGGGCAGGGCGGGACCTGGGAGGTTGGGGTTATCGTGGCCCAGAGTCTCTGGAATGCCGGGTCACAAGGAAAGGCGCTGTGGGGGAACCCTCCACCCCATTGGGCCTGGGCGGGATATGGGTACTGGGAGGCGTCTCTGGGTGGTTGTACTAGGGTCTCGGGGCTGGGGAGGGACGAGCAGGCCTCAGGGCACTCCCCAAGTAGAATATTAAATTATTTTTGCCCCCAATGACTCAGTATGTTGGGCCGGGGCTCGGGAGGGTGTGCTGCTCTATGGAGCATCTCCTGAGTATGTGAGTGGTGCCATTTGGAGACCTCAGCTCTGGAATCTTCACCACAGAGGCAAACCTGTGCCTTCTTTCAACAGTTTCCCAGGGGAAAATCAGCCCAGTCAGCCCCATCCGGGGGGGTTAGGGGAACAACCCTTCATCCTGGCTCTGCCCAAACCCTCCTCCTCACCCAGCCCCTTTTGGGGGTATAGAGGGAGGGATTTAGTGGTATGGTTAGGAGCCTGGGCTGTGGGTTCTCATCCCATGCACCCCACTCCCCCTTCCTCTGTGTGCAACCTCAGGCAGCCCGTGTCAATGAGAATAACCAGAGACCCGCACGTCCGCAGCCACTCACCCGCACTCCCAAAGGCCTTAACGCCAAAAGATTGGCGCAGAGCTCGCCAGGAACTGAATGTGCCTCTTTTGCTGTTGAGCAGCGGTTGTCACCTGGGCCGTTTCTGCCTCTGGTTGTCACAGCTGGGAGAGTCGAGCCGCTGCGTATCTGAAAGGAGGCGGCCAGTGCCCAGCCCCCGTCGACAAAGGACGGTCCTTCTCCATGAGTGCGGGAGGCCGTGGATTGCAGGACGTGGCCCCCAGACTTTTCGGGAAGGGTTGGTGATAACGTCCACTGGACTGTTCTTTATTTCCTGTGCACTCTCCTGGCTTCTCCGGGGCACCAGCCAGCGGGAGTGGCCTATACCGCTGGTAACGGAAGATCCAGGAGCCACTGAGTGTTCGGCTGAGTTCTCTTCCTCGAGGCAACTGACGTTTCCCATATGCCAGCTGCACCCGCGACCTGCCTGGTCGCCGGCAGCGTGGAGGGGAATGTCCAGCAACCCACAGAGAGTGTCTCCAGAGCCACCAATGGACCGATGTTGGGAGCTACTGAGATTCAGGCATATTCGTTAGCGCGGCATCTTCTAAGCTCTCCTGACTGGTTCGCACAGTGTTACCTTCCCAAAACGCAAGGAGGGCGTCACTCCAAGATGTGTGGAACCTCGAGGAAAGGCCGGGGGAGCTTGCGCTAAACTGCATCCTCAAGCCCATGTCCTGGGGCTCATGTACCTCTTGTGGCCCGTCTCCCGCTTGGGGCGATACATCACGTCTCGAAACCTTTGGCTCCCCTCAGCCTCTCAGCTGCTGGCCCTTCTGTGTCAGTGAGGAAATGAAACAGTTAGACACACACAGGTTCCCACGGCCTGCTCAGCCACCAGCCACCCCGCGCAGCTGAGTGCTGGGTCCTCCTAGCCCAGGCCCTTGAGAAGTTGCCTAGAGCTGGTAACACATTGCTAGGAACTCCGCAGGGTAGGGAAGTATAGCAAGTTGAGTTGTATTACCCCAAAAGATAATCCAATTCCTAACCCTTGGTCCCTGTGAAAGCATCTCTGCAGGTGATCAAAGGGCCTCTAGATGAGACTAGACTTAGAGTTAGCCCTAAATCAATCACCAGTCCTTAGAGACCGTTCTGAGGACCAGGCATCTGGGAACAGCCTACCTGGTAGGTCCTGGTGAAGTCAGAGTTCATGGCCTGACTGGGGCTGGAGGAGCCCTTCCATAATGGCCCCCTCTTGTGGCTGGGGGTGGGAGGCCTTGGTTTCCACCCTCAGCTTGGCAGCAGCTTCCCAGACTGAACAATAGAGTGTCCAATCTCACGCATGACATCGACGTGCCTGCTGCTTTCTGTGGGTCGCACAGGGACCCTAATCCAAGGTGGAGGGGATTCCGTGAGGGCATGGGTACCAGGTGGTAGGGGTCCCTTGGTGCTATGACTGGCTGTTTCTACCAGGATGATCTCTTCTCACACTTCTGATACCAAATGTGTGGGTTTGCTGCGCTGAGCAAATCTGCATTTCTCTGCAGATGCCAGATGTGTGACCTGCAGTTCAGTTCTGGCATCGTGCAGGCAGCACAGACCCTGTAGGTACAGGGCCCAGCCTCGCAGAACTGACCCTCCACTTTAGACACTTTCAGGAAAGTCCTGGGTCTTTGGCACTTCCAACCCTCCTCCCCCTTTTGAGGATTTGCTAGAATGTCTCACAGAACTTGGGAAAGCTCTTGACTGTCACTGATTTACTCGCAATATCAACAAATGAACAGCCAGAGGAAGAGGCCCGTGGGGAGCAGTCTGGAATGATCCTAAAATCAGGAGCTTCTGGCCCTTTGGATTTGGGGTACACCAACTCTTGGCATGTGCATGCTTTTAGCAGCTTCAAAGTTCTTCAGTCCCACTTAGAGTTACAAAGACTCCATCGCAGGCACTGGATGAAACCCTAGGTCACTGGTAACCTCAGTCCCCAGGCCCTCCTCATGGGTAGCTGGGGGGCAGGGCTGGAAGTTCCATCCCTCTAATCCCATGATTGGCTCCTCCCTCTGGTCATGCTGAAGGTCCCCCAGAGCCCACAAACCCCACTCTTCTTTAGATAAGCCCAGGCTTATGTGGAAGGATCTTGGGAATGTCAAAAGGTGACTCTCTTCCACCACTCAGGGAACTGCAAGTGTTTCAGGAGCTCAGTGCCAGAAGCCAGGATGACAACCACATTGCACATTTCTCACGTCACAGCGTCCTAGGGCCCCTCCCGGGTGGGTGCTCGCTGCAGAGCTGCCATCCACTCTGGGGTTTTGGTGCTGTTCCCTGGGCCTCAGTCCCGAAACAACTCCTGCCCATCGACCCAACCACCCCCTTCTCCCCCGGCTCTCCTTTTTACCCATCAGCACAGGCAGGCTGCAGTTTCTTAAAAGGGAAAACCCACAATCCCTTGACTGTTCTTTACAACAAAAGCCCTACGCAGACTTGTCAAACCCTCACCAGATCCCAAGTGCTCCCTGATCTCTTCAACCTAAGCCAACCGGACTCTGTCCCTCCTATCCCCAGAGCTGTCCTTGCCAAGGGAGCTTCCCAGTGTCCAGATGCAATGGTCGAATCTCATTCTGTCCTTCCCTCTCAGCGGGTCTGACCCTCTGCACCCTCTCCTGGCAACTCCTCAGGGATCTCAGAGTTACTTGGCTTCTATCCCACCACTCTGGGCCCCTCTGTCTCCCTTCCCTTCAGTGCCCCGGGCTGGGTAATTGGGCCGCTTTCCCTTCCTTCCTCACCCACACCCCTCCAGGACAACTTCACTCTAGGGGTTTTAAACCCATCTATGCCCCATGATGCCACAGTCCTGTCTCCAGCCCAGGCAGCCTCTGAGCTCGACTCAGGGTCCAGCTGCCCCTTGGCATCTCCACGAAGATATTGAGGCATGCCGGACATAGCACGTCCTTGGAATCCTCAGGTTACCTCTGAAAGTTACTACTCCCGCAGGAAGCGGACACCCCATTGTTCAGAGGACCCAGCCCAAAGACGCTGCGATTTTACCAATTTAAAATCCATCCCATGGCCTGCCTGGTGGCACAGGGGTTAAGTGTCAGCACTATGAAGCTATCTGCAGCCACTGCAGCATGAGTTCGATCCCCTGCCAGGGAGCTGACCCACATGGTGCAGCAGACCTCTCCTGTCTCCCCGCTGCTCCCCTCAGCAGTGTACTTAGGTCAATCTGCCTGTTATGTTCCCCACTCTGTCTCTGGTGAATCCTCTCACCCCCTGCACCTCTGGCCTGTACCCCAGCTCTTTTTTTTAAATTATTTTTTACATCATTTTCCCTCCGTTCTTCTATATATAAATAAATATTTTTAAAAAATCCATCCCAGGGCCTCCCTGGTGGTGCAGGTGGTTGAATGCAGTGCTATGAAGCTGTCTGCAGCCTCTACAGCACCGGTTCGATCCCCACTGGCCACGGAGTTACCCCCATGGCTCAGAAGACCTCTCCTGTCTCGCCTGCTGCTCCCCTCTGCAGTGTGTTTCAGTCAGTCTGCCTGTTCTGTTCCCTGCTCTGTCTCCGGTGAATCCTCTCACCCTCCTGCACATCTGGCCTGTACCCTGGTTCTTGTATGCATAAATCTTTAAAAAAAAAATCCATCCCAGAGCTGCCCACTTCAACCCCCTCCTGAGCCTCCTTGCAGGTCCAGCCCCTCATCTCCCTCCTGGGACTAGTGTTTTTTTCACTTTGGTCCCCAATACTTGTCCTCGTGCTCCTGTGCCCCCAGTCCTGCAAACTGGTGCCAGTGAGTACCTGAGTCAGGGTCTGCCTCTCTCAGGGTAAGTGCCCAGTACTCCCTGGGGCTCGCAAGACCCTGGACAACTTCTTCCTGCCCCCCCCCACTCCCACATCCTCCCCTTGGTCAGCTCTCCCTCATTCATCCCGCCCCAGCCACATGGGCCTCCTCACTCTTCCTCCCACACTCCAGGCCCGGTCCTCCCTCAGGGCCTTTGCATGGTCCTCTGCCTAGAGTGCTCTTCCCCAGATACTGCCAAGGCTGATTCATTCCTTCCTTTGGGTTTTTGCCCAAATGTCATTTTCTCAGCGAAACCTTGGCTCCTGTTTTATTTATTTATTTTTAAAGATTTATTTATACAAGAACTGGGGTACAGGCCAGAGGTGTGGGAGGGTGAGAGGACACACCAGAGACAGAGTGGGGAGCAGAACAGGCAGACTGACCGAAAACACTGCTGAGGGGGACAGCAGGCGAGACAGGAGAGGTCGGCCGCACCATGTGGGTATCTCCCTGGCTGGCCAGGAATCAAACCCGTGCTGTAGAGGCTGTGGACAGCTTCATAGCACTGTGCTCAACCCGCTGTGCTACTGGGGAGGCCCTTAGCTCCTGCTTTAAACATTAACTCTCCAAGCAGTCCTAACACCCTGCCACACCACACTCTTCACATTCGAACCTAATACTGTCATGTGTCATATAACAAATTTATGTTCTGGAAATGCATCATTAGGTGATTTTTGTCCTGCAAAGTTCCTGGAGAGTAATAACACAAATCTAGATGGTCCAGCCCTCCACACACCCAGGCTCCATGGCAGCCTGTCGAGACCCTTTCTACATATGTGGTCAGTCCTTGGCTGAAATGTCACTAAGGGACATGTGACTGGCCATCATTTCTCCTCATCATCTCCCACATGGACTAGTGCAGGGGCCCCCTAGGCCCTGGGCCTCTGGCTCCCACCTTCATCCGCATCTACCTTCCCTACAGCAGCCACGAGGGGGCGTCGGTGGTTGACTTTCTCTGTGACCATCTCCCTGTCTTAAATGTCAGCTCCGGCACAAAAAATGAAAAAAAATATATTTTTTACATTTAAAAAAATTTCTGCGCCTCCCCGGTGGCGTAGCGGATGAGCACTGGGCTGTGAAGCTGCCCACAGCCTCTGCAGCGCCAGTTCAATCCCCGGCCACTGGGCGAGGGTCCCACATGGCGCGCAGACCTCTCCTGCCGCCCGCTGCTCCCCTCAGCAGTGTACTTGGTCCTTCTGCCTGCTCTGCTCCCCGCTCTGGCTCTGGTGAATTCTCTCATCCTCCTGCCCTTCTGACTGTACCCAGTGCTTGTATAAATAAATAAATCTTTAAAAAAACCCCAGAAATTTCTGAGGAAAAAGAGAAAAAGAGAGGCGCCTGCCTAGTCACAGCAGGGCAGGAGGGCTGCTCCTATTTTGCAAAGGGTAAATGTTTGTGAAAAGAAACACCTGCACAGGACAGGTAGGCAGGAGATCTCCCAGAATTCAAAAATTTTAACAAGAATAATGTCGATTCTGTGAAGAGGGGCTTTGGTCAGTCTTGTTCACAGCTATGTCCCTGGATCTGCAAGAGTACAAGCCGTAGTAGGTGCTCCATAAAATTAGGTGAACGAATCTGCTGTGTGAAAACCTGGCAACAGGACATTCCTGGGAGGGACGGCATATGCCAAGGCCCTGTGGTAGGGATGAACTGGCAGGGCATCAGCTGGTGCGGCTGCAGCTGAATAAGGGAGAGGCCCAGTAGGCGGAAGTGATTTGCACTGTGATTAACCCAGGCAGATGGTGGCCTTGGGGGAGCCACCCAATCCGCTTACCCAAAACCCCTTAATACTTCCACCATGCGGGTCACCCCAGTCCTCCTGTGTGCCAGCTGGCAGCCATGCCGGGGCTGGTGGGTGAGGAGGGGCCCCAAGGCTGGAGCCCAGCCCCGGCACTGTATGAAGAGTACCGCCCTCTGCCACTGGACTCGGTCCGCCTGCCCAGATACGCGCTGTACCTGCTGTTGGCCGCGCTCCTGGTGGTGGCTGTGGCCTATGCCATCGTTGGGCATCTCATCAAGGACCTCGCCCACGACCTGGCTGGTGAGCTGCTAGGTCCACCACAAGCCTGGCTTGGGCTAGTGCTGGGCCACTGAGGTGGGGGGTCTGAGGGCCTCTCTTGGCCCCAGAGCGGGTAGGTGGCAGCTGGGTCATTGGGAAGGCCGAGGTCCTTTTCCAGGTCCATGCAGTGGGGGAGGGCGGGCAGGGCCTGGGAAGACTCCTCACCAGGCTCCCTGTCGCAGACTGGGCTTTCGGGCCGAAGCCGGACCAGGGGGATGCCCCCCGGGAGCTGCGCCCCAGCCTGGAGCGGGAGGACCTGGAAGAACTGGACTTTGAGCTGGCCCTGGCCTGGCAGGGTGATGAGGACACTGGTGCAGCCCATGAGGGGGTTCCTGAAGAAACCCCCATGAGGCCTTCCCGCTGCCCCTCCATCACTTTCAAGGACCCACCCACCCGAAGCTCCTTCTGGAGGCTGCGCTGAGCCAAGCGTCCCTCGGGCCTGGGGACCCAATTCGGCCCCCTGTGGCCTCTGTATGACAGGACTTGTGTGCACCGGAGCCTTCTCTTGCCTGAAAAGGCTGTTTTCTTGGCTGACTGGCCCCAGTGGCTGGACACTGGCTACTGCCAGCTCCCACTTCCTCCCAATTCCCAAAGGCTCATGGCATTCAGCTTCTGCCAGGCTGTGGGCAATCTGTGAGTCATAACCCTGTAGTGGGGCAGCCAGGCGCAGGGCAGCCGGGGCGCCAGCAAATCTTTACACTCTCTCTGGCTCCCTCCGGCCTTCTCTCGTGGCCTTACCGCTCCTGTAGTCACGCGTCCTCCCGCAGCCGTCCTCCGTCGCTGAGTGATGCCGCCCTTACAGCCCTGCCCTCCAGGCTCAGGTGTGCGCACTTACGCAGGCGTGCGCACCCAGGCTCCAGGTGTCCACAACCAGGCACACGCGCCCCGCGGCCACGCTCCCAAGCACCCCTGCGTTGACACATCAGGGCCGCTGGTGACAGCCACAGAGGCTAGTGGCGCAGAAAGCCCTACAAACACTAAGATGATTTAAACAATAATAACAGCAGCCAGCCCTTACCTAGTGCTTAGTCTGTGCTCCTGTCTTGCTAACTAAGCCCTTGCCTTGCATTATCTCATTTAATCCTCCAGGTAGGAAGCCTCACCCCAGACGGGAAAACAGACATGCACAGCCCTGAAATGTCTTGGCTGGAGCAGAGAGAAATTTTTCTGGCAAGAGCCCACCCAGCAACCTCCCTTGGATAGCAGGAGCTCTGGGGTGGGGTTCTTCCTTCTACTCCTGTTCTGCTGGCCTCACCCCATCTTCTCCAAGCCCCACTTTCTACCTGCCACCTGATTTTTGGCTGCATCTGTCTATCTCTGGGGTTTGACTTCCTAATTAGTCCAAGGGCTCCCGGATGATTGTGTCTGTCACTTCCTTCCCTTCTGAGCTTTGCACAGGGCAGAGCACACAGTAGGAGCTTCACAAACACAATCAGCTTCCAGCTGGTGGAAGTGAACCTGTGGCCTGTTCTGGAACTGTGCACTGTTCTGTCTTCCTCTGCTGAGTGGCACATTTGCACTTCTGCCTGACCCCTTCTGCCTGAGCAGGCACCCAGAAATCTTTCCCCTCTCCCCTTTGGGGGTCATTCCTCCTTGTTGGCTTCAGTAAGGGAGGAGGTCTGGGCATACAGTAGGTGCCCCACAAATGCACCCAGCTCCCAAAAGCCCTGCAGAGTTGTCACAGGCCATGGAAGGGCAGTGCCTCTTCCTCCCCTTCCCTGACACCTGCTTGCCACGTGCCTGAGCTGTGGCTGTTCTGTGGAAGCTGGGGTGGGGTCCCCCTTCGCCCGGGGATGGGCCCACTTATCTAATCAACCCAGGACAAGGTTGACAGCCTGGAGGCTGAGTCAGTCTGGCCGAGTCGCCCGCTTTTTGCCTGCAGCTGGGGCTGGAGGTGGTTGGTGCCCATCCCTTCTTGTGCCCATGCTCATACCCAAGTTGCCTGAGGGTCCCCAGCAGAGGCTGGGCCAGGAGGAGGCGGCCTACACGATGATGAGGGAGGTGGGTTCAAATCCCAGCTCAGGCTATTTCTGTATCCCCTTGGTTTCCCAGGCTCCCTAGCACCCCTTTAAAGCAGAGCCAGTAGCTTTCATGGGGTGTTCAGAGGAGGAAAGCTCTGATGGGTAAAAGCACTGAGCCCCACGCTGGGAAGGAAGGTCAGGGCCACGGCAGCCGGGCTAGAGGTCCTTGGGGCGGGTGGCAGGGCGGAGGGGCGGGGCCCCTCGAGTTAATTGTTACACTGGGTTCAGAGTCTGGGCTCTGGGGGAGGCGGGGAGACACCAGCCAGGTGGTGGGAGGGAAGACCCCGTCCTTCTGGGCTGGGCCTGCCCCGCCCCATCCCCTGCACACCTTATCAGGGCCGGACACCTCGCCCACACGACTGCTGGCGGGAAGCGGAGGCTCCTCGTCAACCATGGAGACCCGGGAGGCCCTTCTTGTGCTCGGTGTCCTGCTCCTCTCCCCGGCCGAGGCCCAGCAGCGTAGGTCCCTCCTCTGGGGTGGCGGCAGGGTGGGGAGCTGGGCGTCATGGGGTGTGCTTGGTTGCGTGTTGGCTGTCTCCCTGTTTTCCGTGATGAGAAATGGAGACCTGTGAGCTCTGAGAGAGGCAGGTGGGGGTGCCGGCAGAAGCGGAATGTGGGCCGGCCCCTTTCGGAGCGCCCCCAGCCTCCACGCTCCCTTCTCACCCCGGAGCTCCCCTCCTCTGAGCCTCAGACCCCTCCTCTTCTCTAAAGCCCAGCCTCTTCCTAAGACCCCTTCTGCCTGAGCAGGCACCCAGAAATCTTTCCCCTCTCCCCTTTGGGGGTCATTCCTCCTTGTTGATGCCCACACTTCCCTCCTTCTGACAGAGAGGCGCCCGGAGCAATGGCTGGTGGGCCTGGCCGCGGTCGTGGGGTTCCTGTTCATTGTCTTCGTGCTCATGCTCGTCAAGCACATGTGGTGCTCAAAAGTGAGGTGGGACCCCCTCGAGCACCCCAAGCTACCTGCCCCCTCCTCCTCCCCTCTGCCTTCCTCAAAGTCCCCCCCCCACTTCCCAACCCTGTCAGCTGGTGTCCAGAGGTTTCCCCACTTCCCTGATGCTCCTCGGACCCCCGCCCCACAGCGCGGTCATTCAGTCTGCTGGCCTCAGCTTTCGGTGTGAGCCCCAGGCCGGGGAGACTGGGGTGAGGCTGTCTCCACCTGCCTCCTTCATTCATCCTCTCCCTCTGTTCCCATCTCTTCCGCAGAGATGAGAATGAGGAGGTCAGATTGGAGAGCAATTCATCTGAGGAGAGAAACCTGAGGTACTACCTGTGTGCGAATGTGTAGCTACGCATGGGGCCCAGGGATTCTGTGTGAACCTCTCCTGTGTGTATGTGGGGGGAGGGACAAATATGCAAAGATGACCTTTCCTTTCTTTGCCTCTGAAAGCACATTCCTGCCCCAGGGTCTTTGCACATCCTCTTGCCTTTTATTTGCCTGGTATCTTCTGGCTGAATCCTTCTCCTTCAGCCTCTGCTCAGATGCTTCCTCCTCGCAGAAGCCCACCCTGACCACCAGCCTTCCTGACACTTTACCCCACAGCGTGGCATCTTTCTATGCACTTACTGTTCTCCCAGACTCAGTCTCCTAAGGTCCTGACTGCTTCCCGGAGGAAACAGGACATGAGCAGGGCTGGGTGCTCTTCCAGGGCAATGTCCCAGCTTGGGCAAAAACTCGGGGACAGGAGTGGGAATGCAGGAGTTGGGGGGAGACCAGTCTGGCTGGAAGATTCTCAGCTGAGCCCAGGATGTGCCTGAGGGGGAGGTGTGGCCCTAACGGTTTGCTTGACTAATATCCAGCTCAGCCCCAGTGAGATGTGGTTCCTGCTGTCAGGATGTGCTAGATGGTCTCCCCTCCTGCTTCCGCGCTGGTGGTTCTCCCTGCTTGCTCGCCCATCCATCCATCCATCCATCCTTGCCTGCGTCCATCCATCCCTGCGTCCATCCTTCCTCCATTAAATGAGAGCGTCTCTGTTTCTTATTGTGGCCGGGGGCCTTTGTCTCCCTACAGTGAAGAAGGCAAGACAGAGAAGGGAAAGAAGAAGGAGAAGAAGGCAGAGATGCAAGGAAGGAGCAACTCGGGGCTGGAGCTGCATGAGTATGAGGAGCCCACAGACCAGAATGCCAGCTCACACTTTTAAAGATCACCTCCTCCTCCAGGCAGCCCCTCCAGATGACCCCCTCACACACCTTGTAAACAATGACCTGGACCTGAAGCCACTGAAATGACTCCCCCAGGGATGAGATACAAGACCCCAGTGAAGACACCTGACTCGTCCACACCTTCCTAATTTGTCCTGTCTGGCGATTTTTCTTTTATTTGGAGAGAAGTCCTGGTTGCAGAGACTGCCCCAAACCCTCACCATCTAGCTCATCCACCTGCTTCTTCCCACTGCCTCATTTCTTTTCCCTCTGCTGATAGCCCAGAGCCTCTCCCCTCCCATGAAGCCACAGGGTCTGCCTCTGGGGGCCTGGCATTAAAGAATTGATACGAGGCTTTTAGGGGGACTCCTGTTGTTTCTTGGGACGCTGTGTCTCCCTGGGGGAGGCAGCTTTGGTGAAGGGGCGGTGCCTAAGTGGGTGTGGAAGGTCTAGCTGCTCAGTGCCTGGATTTCCTGCGAAGACGAAACACGCCCTGGACTTGAAGCACCGAGTGTCACTCCTGGGACATCCCTGCCCCGCCCCACACCCCGCTTTGTGTGATGTGACTCCCTGTGTGGGAGCTGGACCTAGTGGGGTGCAGTGCCCCGTGGCCTTGCTATCATCTTGGGGAGGGACAAGCACGTCTCCCTCTTACTTTCCCCAGTCCCTGAACCTTGCCCTGTGCTTTAGTTATTTCTTAATGAGCACCTTGATAAAAGCTGGCACTGGGAGCTTTGGCCCCGCCAGAGCTAGGGCTTGGGTAGGCTCTGACTCGGGCGCGGATCTGCGGGCTAATAACACCTCCAGGGTTGTCCACCAGGGGGCGGAAAACCGTGTTATACATGCAGTAAAGGTCCAATAAATGCTCCTACTGAGCGTCTCGAACTTAACCTGCTTTCAGTCTCCACCAGAAAGCAGTGAGTCCCACTTTCCAGGTGAAAATATTGAGGCTTAGAAGGAGGGAAGCTGCTGGCCAGCTGTGGCTGGTGGCCAAAGCATGGGGGTGTTTGCAGACTCTGGTTAAGGTCAAATGTGGAGGTCACGACCTAGGAGCGGGGTGTTATTTCCTGTGGGGGGTGCTCAGCTGGGAGGATTGGTTTCCTCTGCAATGCTGTGTGGCCCAGGGGAGGTGACCTGATATCGCTGTGCCTTGAGTTGACTTCTGCGGAGGGTGAGGCTTGAAGGAGGCGTGGAGGCTTATGGGGGCTGCACAGCGCGCACTTAGTAGGTACTCAGGAAGTGAGTTCCTCACCTCTCCTGGGCCAATTTTTCTTCGGGATTTGGGGGCTCCTCCTGCCATGGCCCCGGCTGTGGGAAATGAGGTGGTCAAGGTGGGTCTCAGGGAGACAGGGCACTGGGGTGCTTGGGGCCTCATAGTCCTCCCCAGGGTACGGGATACCCAGGATGGGAAGGGGGCCCCATTCCTCAGTGCCTGGGGCACCCACCACTCCCTGCTCTGGGGGAGGGGGGAGGGACAGGCGGTGGGTGGGGGAGGGACAGGCAGTGGGAAGAGAACCCCATCCTCCACCATGTCCCCCGCTTTCTACCCCCCACCCCCTGCGCCCAGAGGAAGGGGTGTTGGGGTGGCAGCTGGAGGCTGCGCTGGCCTTCCTCTTCCTCATCGTCATCCTCACTGTGGTCTGTGCCTGGTGCAGCAAATCCTGCGACAGGTGCCCCCCCACTCAGCGGAGCCACTCCCCATAGGACCGCCACCACCCTTGGAGCCCTGCCTCGCCCTCTCCTCTCCGAGCAGTCCTTCCCGACGGGCAGGACGGGCAGGACCCAGCGAGTGGGTAGTTCTTTGATTCAGAATCAACAGGGGCCTCCCATCACCGCACTGACTTCCCTGCGCAGACCCACTCGCAAAAGGAGAATGGCTTCCACGAGAGACACTTGTCCTTCTCACAGGGGATCTGTCAAGTCTGTCGCTCCACCTTGGGTGCCTACCCGAACCCGACCTCCCACCTCTCCCTTCCTTCCTCTGCCATTCATCCATCCATCACCCATCACCCATCGCCCATGCATCCATCACCCATCACCCATCGCCCATGCATCCATCACCCATCACCCATGCATCCATCACCCATCGCCCATCGCCTATCGCCCATCACCCATCACCCATCACCCATGCATCCATCACCCATCGCCCATCGCCCATGCATCCATCCATCATCCCTCCCTCCATCCATCCATCGTCCATCCACCATCCAGCCATCACCCATCCATCATCCCTTACATCCATCCTCCATCCACCCCTACCCCCCACCCACCTTTCCCCCATATATGCCCGTGTCATCTGCTCATTTGCCCACTCGCCTTCTCAACCTGTCCACCACCAGTCAGTCCATCCCCTCATCTCCATCCAGTCACCTCGTGTGCATCCATTTGTCCATAGTTTTGAGACTCAGGAAGCTGGAGAGGCCAGAATGGGAAAGTGTAGTTTTGGCTCACGAGCTCAGCTTCCTTCCAGTTCAAACTGGGGCAACAGCCTAGCCTGGCTGAGCCCAGCCTTCCCATCCATACAACGGGGACAATAGCCATGCGTGACCCGGTTCCCAGAGGGTTGTGAGAGGCTTGGAACACTAAATCCTTATTAAATTGGGTTATCTGGGATCTTGTCTCCACAGCAATAGAGAAGAGGAGACTGTGAAAGAGAAGGGGAGGCAGCTGGGGGCTGGAGATAGAGGAGAAAGAACATGTAAAAGAACATAATGGGATATCCAGATCCTTCTTGTGAAGCCATCTTCTGCCTCCTCCAGGCAGCCTCCCAGAGAGGTCCCAGTACCTTCTCTGCACCCTACAAGTGAAGTCCTGGTCCTGGGGCCAGAAAAATGACTCCCTCTGAGGTTCAGAGCAAAGTGTCCCTGAATGAAGAGGGCCCAGGGCCTACCCGAAGCCTCGCGCAGAGGCTCTTTATACACTACTTGATTGTAAAACATCCCTCCCTAAGCTTGTTCTTCAAGCCTGGGGCTAATTCTTGAGCTTGGAAGCCCTCCAACCCCCAGGAGCACCTCACATCTCTAAAACAACCATCCTCCCCATCTCAAATCTCTACCCAGTCTTTATCTCAGGTATCTTTTTTTTTTTTTTTAACCTGTTGCCTGATTTTCTGCTTCGGATTTCGACTGCCCTCTGCATTTCATCAAAGAAACCAGCTTGCCCTGTGCCTCTCTGGATAGGAATCATTTGGTTTCCAGCCCCTTTCCTGGCCTTGGTTGCCTCCCTGCCGCGTGGGAGCGGAGAGAGGCGCCCCGCACAGCCTGCGCAAGACCCCCTTCCACACGCAAGAGAGGCGTGGAGCAGCGCGCAGGAGGGCCTACCAGTCTTTCCAGATCCCAGGGCAGACCAGCCCTCACCCTGCTGTCTTGCTTTGCTGTTCCTGGGTGTGAACTTTGAGCGGGCTCACCTGCAGAGCCGTTTCCTGGGAGATGAGGGCTCCTCCCCCCACGCGCTGAGTTTCCACTGTCCTGGAAGCCCCGACTCCCAGTGGTCTGGGGGGAGGTGTATCATCATCGCCTCCCCTTTTCCTGTCCTGCGCTTCTGGTGGCTCATGGAAATGGAGTTGGAGTCCTATTTTCTTGTGTGACCCTCAGGAAGTGACTTAACTTCTCCGGGCCTAAGCATCCCGTCCTGTAGAAGCAGAGGGTGGAAACTAGATCTTCAGTTGTCATGAGGATCAGATGAAATAATGCCTGCAAAGATCCTGGGCACAGAACCCCGAACCCCAAAGGCAGCAGGCTGTTCTGTTGAAATGGTCCTGTTGAAATGGTCACCCTCAGACTAGGGTCCCTGGAGAGTGGAGGGGGTGTTTCTGGACTGTGGCACTGGGAATGCAGTTTTCTGCCTCCAGCTTCCTCAGCGCTGTCTGGGGGGGTCGCTGCGGTGCCTGCGTCCAGTGGGTGGTTGTGGGGTTTACAGAAGAGGGGCTCATCTGACTCCTCCCCGTCTGCAGGGGTGGAACTTTTCCACTAGGGGGCGTCTGCGATGCTGAGTGGGGGAGTTTTACTAGGTTGTCACAAGTCTGTCCCCCTTTCATGATATTCAGTGGGGTGGTGCACAGCCTGCAGCTCTGGGTCAGCGCCGCAAAGCCAAAAATTGCTTCACTCCAGAGGCCAGTGGCTGGTAAACACTGAGCCTAGAGATCCCAAGCCACCTTCCTGCCCGTCTACTGCTCCAGCTGAGCTCCCGGCCCTGGACAGAGCCCCCCATTCCAGCTGAGTCCCCCAACCCCGTATGAGCCCTCACCTCCCACCGAAACCCCACTCTGGCTTAGCCTCACTCTCAGAGAACCTCTGCCCCCCACACTGATCCCCCCACCCTGGGGGAGCGGCGGTCCTGGCAGAGTCCTTCACCCCCACCCCTCCATAGAAGACCCGGTCCCAGGCCTGAAGCTCTCGCCTGACATTCTCCCCACCCCAGCTGAGGCCCCAATCTTGCATCCCCAACTTAGTCACACCCCCCCCCAAAGAAACTCCTGTTAGTGCGTCTTTCCCGCTGCAGGTAGGGGCCCGCCCGCTGAGCTGGGGGCTAGGTGGGGTGGGGGGCTGCACCTGCTCTGCCTGCTGTGCCTGCTCTGCCGGGGACCTGGTTTTGGGGCCAGGACGTCGGTGGGCCCGCAGGAGGTGCCAGAATCTCCCCTGATGGCAGCAGCGCCCGTGCCTGTTGGGGGCGGAAAGGAGAAGAGAAGGTGTCTGCAGCTGTCCCTGGGCTGCGGGAGGTCACGCGCATTCGGCAGCTGCGCAGGGAGCTGGGTCCCTCTCTGTCTGGCCTCCTCTGTGCACCCCAGCAGTTAAAAGGGTTACAACCCGTCCCTCTTCCACACGCTTGTTACAGGGTGGAAGGAGCCTGTGCAGCTGTGGGGTACCCATTTTGAGGGCTTCTGGGAGTCTCTGGGGAACTTGGAATTGGGGGCAAGATGGGAGGCAAGATCCCAGTCCCCCGAGAAAGGGACGTGACTGCCCAGCACACACAGGGTGCTCCCCTGCCCCACAGGCTCCATGCCCCTAGCCTTTGCTGTGCTCGGGGCATGGGCACTGCCAGCTGAGTGGTCCAGACCAGCATGGGAGAGAGCGGGGCTGGGGGTGCGGACCTCGCCTGGAATCATTTGGCTCAGGGCGGGGCTGAGAGGTTGTTCTCACCAGGTCGTGCTCCAGCCCGCCTCTGCTCCCCACCCACCTCCAGGGCTGCCCCTGCAAGTGCTCCCCGTGGCCTGGCCCTGCACGGCCTGCCCCTTCCAGCCCTGTACTCTGCGAAGCCCTTTCTCCTGGGAGGCCGAGGTGCGAATGTCACAATGTGATGACACAAATGTAGGAGGCCTTTCTCACCACTCACCTAGGCTGCGCGGTAAAGGCTGTTGGGAAACACACACACACACACACACACACACACACACACACCCATATATGCAACCTGTTGTTGACCTAAATGTCCTTACGCAACACATGACGGTATTTTACTTATTTTTAATGTTCACCATTTGTCCCAACCTGGAGGCGGGTCATTGTGGGCATTTTGTTCTTCAGAAATCTTTGCCGGAGGAGTGGAGTTTGTGGTATGTTCTTTTGGCTTGTTGTGCACTTATGGAAGCACTGAGTGTGGCCGGCTCCGCCCCGGAGCCAGGAAGAGGTAAATCCCTGTGCCTGGCACAAATCAGGTGGCCTGTGGACCCCCAGGGAATTAGCCGATCAAGGACCTGGGGAGTCCTGTGACTGGGCAGAGGAACCAGACTGGGGAAAGGCAGGAAGCCTTCCTGGAGGAAGATGATGTTGCTGCGGGATCTGATGGGGCTGCGCAGATGGAGGTGGCACTGGTGGGCACAGGGGACAGGTGAGAAATGGCCCATCCTAGGCGGGAAGAGCAGGCTGGGGCACGAGAGGGGCATTGCCAGGAAGGGTCTGGACCCTGAGCTCACCCAAAACCGCCCTCTAAAGGGGGTCCCTCCCCCTGGGCACCGCAGACATTTGGGGCTGGATGATCCCCTGTGGTGGGGCTGATGCAAGAAGCACCCCTGGTGAGGATGACCACAGATGTCCCCAGACACTGCTCAGTGTCCTCTGGGGGACATTTGATCTACAGCTTCCAGATCGCCGCCTGCTCCTCCAGCTTGGGGTCCCTGTCTCCTGCGGCCACTTGCTCCTCCATTCTCTTCCTTCTCTCTGACCCTGGACGTGGACCAGCTCAAGCAGAACACAGAAAGGAGGACCCAAAACAGCCAGAAAGAGTCAAAGCATAGCTTGTTTAATTTTTATACATTTTTTCTTTTTTTTGCCTTTTATTGAATTTTTATGGAACCCCCCGTTTTTCATTTTTTTTTTTTTTTTTTTTTGCATAGGGAAAAAAACAAACAAAATAATAACAGCCAGAGTCACTTTCTGTAAATGGTACTTAGGTAGGCGCATCCGCGAAAACCAAAATGACTGCGTAATATACAAGGTTATGATCAGAGTATGGCGTGCGGGAGCGGCGGGCGCGCTGGGCGGGGGAGAGGCCGGGCCTGGGCGTGCCCACGAGTCCCATGTCCCCCGTCCAGTCCCCCCCGTCGGGGGAAGGAGGAGGTGGGTGGCTGACCCAGCCAGACCTTCTCCTGACGTGGGTTTATGAGCATGTGTGTGTGTGTGTGTGTGTGCGTGTGTGCATGTGTGTGTGAGAGAGAGCGATCCGGTGTGCGCGGCAAGCAGAACGCGAGAAACAGAGTAAACTATCTTGGTAATATCAGTAAAATACAAAATGGAAAAAAAAAACTCAAAAAATATCTTGGAGGGAAGAAAATGAATAGCAACACCACCAAAAATTTTTGAGGGAAGAGGGAGGGAGGGAGGAGGGAAGGAGGGGGGGGTAGGAAGGAAATTCAGAAAAGAAAATGGGGCTGTTCCTCCTCCCTGCTGCCCCCCAGTGCCATGAGCCCTGTCCCTTGGACGCTCTGCTTGTCCTTTCCCCATGTGGGGCCCTGGGGTGTGGGAAGGCAGGAAGCTGGGGCGGATACCAGGACCCCTGGACTTGAAGGGGCTTTGGTTTTAGGGGACCTGGCTGGGACCCAAGATGGGCTGATGGGGTGTTGACATATTTGGGAGGGAGCTCTGGGGGTTCCCAACTGATGGGGGGCGGGAGCAGCTCCTGCCCCTTTGCAGTGGGTTCCTTCTAGCCAGGAAGAGATGGAGGCTGTGGGGAGGGTGGCAGCGTGGGGGTGCATGACTCACCTCCCCCCGGAGCCCTTCATCCTGTTGGATCCAGCCTCCACTTTCTGGAGGCCGGGGGGGCCCCCACGGAGCCGGGGAGGAGAACCCCAAAGCCGCACCAGCAGACATGTGAGGCACTGCTTGGGAAAGTCTGTTTTGGTATCGCTGGCAACAAGTTCTGCTGGTATTTCTTTGGGTCTGTCTCCCCGCCTCGTCCTGGGTTGGGGGGCACCTCTGGGGCTAGTCTGGACCCCACACTCCTAAATGCTTAGGGCTAGATTGGGGGGATGGGCGGGAAATGTGTGTCAGCTTGGAAGTGGGACTCTCAGGACGCGCCCAACCGGGCGGGCACTGGGGAGGGGGGCAGGGTCCTGGGAAGCAGGTGGAGGATGCGTCTTGGACGTCTCCCCCAACCCCCTCCGAAAAGAAAGTAGAAATCAGGGTCCAAGAGAGAATTCAGTCCAAAGTAAAAAGTAGCCACTGTATTATGAGAAAAAAATGTCAAACTTAATATATTTATATGTATGAACAGTATAGGCCTGCGCGGGGGCGCAAGCACCCCAGGGCCGGCGCGGGGGAGGGGCCCGCGCTGCCCTGCCCTGCCCACCTGGCCGCTGTCCAGCCAAGTCTGCCCGCCGCGGGAACTCTGCTTTCTCTGGGAACAGATAGAGCAGGGCGAGGATGCGTGGGGCTGAGGCTGGAATTGTCTGCTGCGTGGGGAGCTGCAGCGGCCCTCGGAGTCTCCTTTGGGGTTCTTTCGGGTCTGATTGTCTAGCTCAGGGCGGGGCTCTGGGCTCAGAACTCAGCCAGAACCTGGGCTCAGGGAGACGGTCCCGCTCTCCCCAAAGAGGGCCGGGTCTCCCTGCCCACCACAACCCCCTTTGCACCTTGGCTGGTGTCAGGCGCCCTCATCCGAGAATGGGGCGCTCTGCATATATTTCGGGAGCCTCCCCCTTCTTTCCCCCAGCGTGGGCTGCCCCCGGGTCTGGCTGGGGAGCCCTGAACGGGAGCGGCTGGCAGGGCCCAGTCTCTCCAGGGCGTGGACTGTGGGTGGGTGGGGGGCCGTGGGCTTGGGAGGGGATGGGGCTTGAGATGTCAGCTTCATCCATGTGAAAAAGAAAAAAAAACCAACACGCTGCTCCCCCTGGCCCCGCGGGGCGAGAGCGACCCCCTGCAGCGGCGGGCAAGGGTCCAGCTCTGGCACTTCCACTTTGCTCAGCCTGCTGGGAGGGGATTCTGCCCTATGGGGACCCTGTAGCTTTTCAAAGAAATGGGAACAAAAACCCAACCCCAGGGGAACACGCGCTGGGGGGAACTGCCTGCTGTGCCCTGCGAAGGCGATGGCGGAGCTGGGCGTGTGCGGCGGGGCGGGAAGGGTGATGCTGGGGTCCCCGGGCCCACGTGGGCCTTGGAGGGACCACAGGGTCCCAGCAGGGCCGCGAGACCCACCCCCTCTACCACCAGCTGCTCCTCACTCCGAGGGGCCAGGGGGAATGAAAACCAGAAATCAGTCACGTGGAAACACACGCCGGGCCCTCTCTGGCCAAGGGGCTGTTCTCAGGGCGGCCTCCTGGCGGCCGAGGCCTGCAGTCTGGGCTTCGGTGTCTCCACTCTGCAAGGCCCCACCCTGCCCGAGGCGGGCACAGGCCAAAGAATAGGAACCTGCTTGCCCACAGGACTTGCCGGGGTGGGGGGTCCAGGTGGGTGGTAGGGGGCGGAGGCCTGCCTAGTCCGGCACCCTGCAAATCACCTGCTATTGTCTCAGCTTTGGTAGAGTAAAAGGCAAAGTAAAAGAAAAAAAATGAAAAGAAAAGAAGGAAGGAAGGAAGGAAGAGAGAGAGGGCGGGAGGGCCGGGGCGGGAGGGGACAGAAGGAAGAGAAATAAAATCCGGGAAAAGACAACAGCACGGCCAGCCATGGACGGAGGCTGTGACTCGGTGCCCCGGCTGCCCCGCAGGGCCTCCAGGGCTGAGTAAGACCCACAGGTACAGACAGACAGATAATTGCATATATCGGGTTTGGTTTCTGTTGTTTTGTTTCCTACCGAATACCCGCCACGGTCACCGCTGGAAGACGTGGAGCTGGGCGTGGGCATGGAGCGGGCGGGAGGGGACTGCCACCCAGGGCCGGTCTCCAGGGGCGGGGGGCGAGGGGGTCCTTTGGCAAGAAGGGGGGTGCACAGGGGAAGAGAGGGGGACAGCAAACTGATCCTGAGCCAGGGGACGCCAGCCTGCGTGAGCGGGTGGGATGGGCGGGGGTCTGGCTGTGAGCGGGGCGGGCCTGCGCGGCCGCCCGGGGCCAGCTGTGCGGGCGAGCATGGCGTCTGGGGCGCTGGCCTGTGCTCCAGGGACCAGAGAAGCCCTTGCCCGGGGCCAGGGCGTGCCCCTGAGGTCTGTCCTCTGCGGTGGGCAGGGGATTCAGAAATTCCTCTGGAGCCCCGGAAGGGGTGGGGCTGGGGTGGGGCTGGGGTGGGCAGAGCACCAGGGAGCTCCCCCAATGCAGCGGGAGACTGAGGCAGAGCCGAGGGTGGGCGGGACTGGGGCAAACCATGGGGCGAATCTTTTGTGGCTTGCTCTTTTTTTAGCATGTGATTTTTTCCTTCTTCTTTTTAATTTTAAATTATTATCTTTTTTACAAATAGAAATACATCCCTTTTTAATTTTTATTTTTTATTTCATGTCATTGTTTTGTCTTTTTTTTAACTACACGAGCAATGCATGCAGCTATCTGTGTGCGTTGATATTGTTTAAGGTAATACTTATTTTCTGAAGGCAAGGCACATCATGTGGTAGAAAATTTCGTGCAAATTAGGAAACATGGAATTTTTTTAAGTTTTTTTTGTATCTTTTTTTTTTTTTTTTTAAAGAGGATGTAGTGGTGGGGGCGGGGGCTGGGCTATCGGGAAGGAGATAGAGCCAGGTATAATTTGCCATGCAGTATCAGCCGCCACGAGCTGACGTCAGCAGCCAGGTCACAGGAACCCTCGATTAAGCACCATGCAACGTTAGGTAGCTGGGGGCTGCCAGGTGCCCCTCCCCTCCCCCGCCTACCTGCACCCTAAGGTTCCCGGTTGAGAAGTTTCCGGGTGCCTCAAATGCACTACCCGCCCCTCCTGCCCTCCCGGAGAAAGGCCCAAGCTTTGGTTCCCGAAGGCCTGAGGGGCCCTGGGGACAGAAGAATGGACCCAGGGGGGTTCTCCACCCTCTCCGGCAATGGGAGGGCTGGGAGGGGTTGGATCTTGGGTCTTTCTCTAAGATCGAGTGGGTTTACCAAGCCCCTGGGGCTGGTTTGGGAGGAGAGTCCGGTTTCTGGGGAAGTGGGAGGAGGCTAGTCGGGCCAAGGAACTGGGAGTGGGAGCGGAGGGCCAGGCTGGGAGCAGACAGGCTTGAGGCCCTGCCCAGGGCCATGGCTTTGGCCTGAGCCCCAGGGTGGGGGTCGTGGTTGGGGGAGATATTCCCTAGCGCCAGGCATGAAGGAGGCCGGTGGGGGCTCAGGTGGACGGGCCGGGAGGGGTCCGTGTGTTTCGGTTCATTAACCCTAGAACACTTAACACCCCCTCCCGGGCCGGGTCCACCCGGGATGACCACCTGGGGTGAGGGCAGGGATGGTGCCAGGGAGCCGGGGTGGTGGGGGCACCCGGCATCCCCAGCTTAGTGTTTTGGGAACGGCTCAACGGAAAACATTTAGCAGATGGGAGATCCCCTACATAGCCCCCCCAGATGCTGGCGCCAAATCCCCTCCCAGGACACCCCCCACCCCACTCCAGGCTCATGTGGACTGCACTTGGTCCGGCCGTCTCTCCTTCTGGGGGCCCAGCTTCGAGGCACCTCCCTGGCTGTGCCCCACTTCAGGGGGGAGATGAAAGTGCAAACCGTGGTCCCCCTTTGGGCTGGGGGGCACCAGGGAGGGGGGGTGTCGCTCCAGGATGTAAGGCACTGGCAGAGGAGGCGTGGGGGCCCACCAGCTTCCCCAGACCCCACCCCCGCGCCCCAGCATGGCAGGACGCTCGGGAGATGCCCAGCTCTGCCCCTCGGAACCCCTTGGGGGTCCCATCTCTCTAGCTCTGAGGGGGGCATAGCGATGAGGGGTTGGTGACTGGAGGTGGCCAGGTTGCTAGGGGAGGGGTGGAGGATGCCCTCGGCCACTCGAGTCCCAGCTGGACAGAGGGGTGGGGGTGGGCGGTGGGAATCAGGCACTTAAACCACTCGCTCTCACCTCCCACCTCCGTGGGCTGCGTGGGGGGTCCACTCCTCCCGACGTGGGTGGAGGCTGTGGACACTGCCCCTCTCTCCCGGAGCTCCGGGCCCCTCGTCCCCCCACCCCAGCCCCTTCCTCGGAAAGTGCATTTCTTACAGTGTGTGCAACATGGATCCCTCCCCTGGGGGTGTGGAGCCAGGCCAGGAAGGGGTGTGGTGGGGGGGGTGGCCTCCTATGCTGAGGGGTGGGGCTGGGGGTCAATTGCATAGAGACATCTCCTCCCAAACTGGGCAGGGGAGGGGGCTGAAAGACCAAGTCCGAGTGAGTGAGCAGTCTCGCGGCGGGCGCGGGCAGGGCGGAGGTCCCGGGCCCAAGGCAGGACACTCCTGAGAAAGCCTCTGCCTCTGCGCCTCCCCTGGTGACGGCCTGGGTCTCCCCACAACCCCCTTCTACTCTTGTCACTTCCCTGCCCTCCGGTGGCCGCTGCTGCCCTTGCCGAGGGCGCCTGCCACCCGGTTTGGCAACGCCACGTGGGGTCCTGCCAAAGTCCCAACGGAGGCGGTGGGGGCGTGGGGAGAGGTGGCCTCGCTGGGCCCTGCCCCGCTGCCAGGCGCGGGCACCAGGCTGTGCTCACCTGGTCCTGGGCAGCGGCAGGGGCAGGCAGGTTCCTTCCAGAGAAGCAGCGGAGAGGAGATGAATAACTTAGGAGGGCGCACCCTGCGCCTTCTCGTCGCGGGAGGGGCGCCGCCCGGCCCTGGTCCGCAGAGGCGCCCGAGTCTTTACCTTTCGTCGACTTGGTTGGGTGGGTTTATTCTTTTTTCCCATTTGTCTTTTTTTCCTTTTTTCCTCCTGTGTTTATGTGTCTGTGTTTTGTCTTTCGGCCGGGCTGGGAGTCGGTGGGATTTTCTTGCTCGCTTTAACTTTCCACCAAAAACGTGGGCCGGGGGGCAGGCTGGGCAGTCCCCCGGGATTCCCGGGACGAAGGAGAGGGCGTGGGACAAAATCTTTCTTATCCTAGATACCAGGACTGGGGGGGGGCGATGGGGACACAGAGAGAGAGAAAGGGGGAGAGAGAGAGACATGGTGGTCAAGCTCTGCTGCCGACCTGACTCACCCCTGCCAACCCCCGGGCCCACCACCCGTGACCCTGGGCAGTGACTTGCCCAGCGCAAGGGCTGCCGGGTGGAAACCCAGGACGCGGCGCGAGTGGAACTCCTCTCAGCAGGAGTGTGTCCCGTGCAACTTTTGGGATATACTTAAATTAAACAGAATTTTAAGACATTTTTCATTTTCTAGAATTCCAATTTAGCTGAGCATCCTGAATTTTATTTGTTGACTCTACCAACCTGACTTCAGAACCTCGTTGTCCTGAGCGTAAACCGGGGGAGGGGGCGCGGGGCCCCCATGGCACCCCGCCCCCCGGCACAGGGAGTCCCCACACTGTGGCCAGGGCTACTGGCTTACTGTTTCTTTTAAAATAAACGTTTTCCTATTTAATGATCCCCCCAGAATCCCTTGTGAAGGATGGAGGGTGGCCCCCACCGCCTCTCTATTTCTCGTGACAAAGACTGGGGCTCAGAAAAGTCAAGTAACTTGCCCAAGGCCACCAGCGTGGCCAGAAGTCAGTCCTCACTCTCTCCCCATCCCTGGGGTTGATGCTTTAGTCCACCTTCAGGGACTGCTCACCAGGGCCCCTGAGCGGGGGCTGTGACTCCCCTTACGGGAGGGCACAGCTCTGGGCTTGCTCGGTATCCACAGGGGAGACCCTGGACTGACCTTCGCTTCCCCTGGGAATACATGCAAGCTGGTCATTGTGGGGTGGGCCTGGGGACCCCCTTCCGGCCCCACTGAGGTCAAAGGCAGGGCTGTTCCCCCAACTCCTACCATAAATGGATTGTGCCCCCTCCAACCAGGCCATCCCATCAAACCGGCGCCACTGTGGTTCCCAGCCCCTCATCTCCAGTCAAGTTCAAGTTCATCTAGGCCATTACCTCATGTCTGGTTTCCGTTGGCAACCAGACAGCCTCCCGGCGTGACCTCCCCTGTAGTGACCTCCTCCCTCCCCTCCAAGGCCCTTTGCCCTTCAGGTCTGACCCTGTAATGAGGGCAGGGGCATCCTCAAAATCCAGTCCCTTCCCTCAGCCCCACCCCACCCCGGGCTGAGGGTGCAACTGAGGCAGCGCAGGACCAGGGGTGAAGTCCAGGCTCTGGCGTCCCTCTGGCCTGGCCAGAGCCACCAGTGGGCAGCTTTGGGCATGCGGTTCAGGCTCTCTGGCCCTGACCCTCACTTCACTCATCTGCTGAGGGGGCGAGATGGACAGAAAGCTGGTGTCAACTGCGCGGCTGGGGGGTGGGGAGCGGTGCCCAGGGAGCCCCACGGGAGACAAAATGATGATGGCTGAGCACTGGGAGGGACTGACGGTGAAAGACTGGGGCGTGGGGGTGGAAAGGTGGGTAACTAACATGGGTGTGACCAGCTGGCATTAATGGGGGGCCCTGAGGAGGGGAGGGATATTGACGGGGAAGGGGCACTTACCGGGCAGGAGACAGAAAGGAGGGGAAGAGAAGCCTGCAGGCCGGCGGGCAGCCACGAGGCCGGCAGAGGAAAGCAAATCTGCAGAGTAATGACGCTGGAGGCAGAAGTGCTGACTTGGTCAGAAAGGACAGGCCTCTCGGCTCTGAGTGTGTGCGTGTGCATGTGTGTGTGCGTGTGCATGTGCGCGTGCGTGCGCGTGTGTGTGTCCTACCAGAGAGGGAGGTAGGGTTTCAAAGCTTCCTGTAGGAGTGGGGCTGGCCCCACCTGGGGACTGGGGTGCCCTCAATCCGGAGACTGGTGGCTCAGCCTGGGCAGCACTGACGGGTCCCTTCCACCTGACCTCCCCCCCTTCATCCCGATGAGGGACCTTGCCTCTCCCATCACCCAGGCCCTCCTGGGAGTCTCTCTCCCTCCCTTGTTGCCCATCTGCCAACACCAGCCCAGCAAGTTCCTTCCAGCTCCCAGAGCTCGCCGAGCTCCTCCCTCACTCTAACCCCTTCCATGGCTGCCAACGGCCCCAGGTCAAGCCCAGAACCTTTCAGTGTCTTTCACATTCAAGCTGTTTCTCCGTCACTTCCAGCCTTTGTCACTGAGCCCCCTGTCTGGCTGGCCTTTGCCACCTACCCTGGACGGCCCCCTTCTCCTGAGTTCTACCAGTCGAAGTCTCACTTCAGGGTCCCCATTGGGCCAGCTGGCCAAGGGAGCCAAAGAAATGTGTGGAACCCAAGGCCTGCCTCAGTGTCCCTCCCCTCCCACCAGCACCTGGGCCCTAGGGAGCGGGTCAGGTCAGAAAGCACCCCACACCCACCCAACACGGAGGCTGACAATGGGGTGGGACAGCAGAAGGGGAAGGGTTAAGTGGGTCGGGTCCTTCTTTTTTATTAGCCTTGGTTTCTGAAGCAACTAGTACCTTCCTGATCTGCAGGGAGAGGAAAAGCGCGGCTCCCTGAGCACTGGGGGCAGGGAGAGAGCAGGGCTTGTCCAGGGTCTTAGAGGGGGTGGCCACAGAGACCCCAGAACCCAAAGCAGAGAATCCTGAGGCCACCCTGGCTCATTTGCTGGGGGAGCCTGACCATGTGACTCCTCTGTTGGGATACCCATTAGGCTCTGCTAGACGGGACACTTGATATTGGGGGTGTGAGCAGTTATGTGGGACAGTCTTGGCCTTTCAGAGTCCTGTCCGGGTGGAGCCACTACCCCAGTGCTCCAGGCCCTTCGAGGGCTCTCTAGGAGGTGACAGAAGAGACAGGTTCAGAGTGGGCAAGGCAGAGCCCTGGTCTCCTGACCCAGCACCCCCTGCAGAGGGCTGGGCAGGGAGTAGGGGCCCTGCAGGACCCTCCCCCCACACTCTGGTCCTCCTGAGTGCCAGTAGCAACTGGGGCAGCCTCAGACGCTTCCCCAGGGAGCCAGGCTGTGTTAGAAGGTTCCTTGGACCTGGTTCAGAAGCTGATTCTGGTCTCAGCCTGGGTTACCTCTTTACCTCCTCCTGGCCCCCTGCTCACGGACTCTGCTGCAGGCGCCCCCTGCCCCCCGCCACAGCAGCCAGATGGTCTGTACAGATCCCGGCTCTGGGGTTCTGGTGATCTGTAGAGCCCCGAGCTAGTCTCTCTGGGCATCCTGGCCTTGGCAGGCTCACAGAGGCCGCTGATGTCCTGGGCCGGGAACCTGCAACAAGCTCCACCCTGACACACCCAGGTGCAGCCCCCAGCGCAGACGCCACCCGCCAGCACACTCCTGGCTTGACACAGCAGACTTGGACCCCTGAGCCGAGGCTGGTGCTGGGGACACACGGATGGAGCGGTCCCTTGAGGAAGCCGGGAAGCCTGGAGTCTGTCTGGACCCTGGGGATCCGCCCGTCGCTTCTGTGCAGCCTCGGGCAACTGGACCCTCCTCTCTGAACCTCCTTGTCTGGTCCTCAGCCCTCCCTTCAGCCTTCAGCTTCAGTAATGCCAGTCCGGCCCCTGCCACCCTCCCACCTCACAGTTAGAGCCTGGGGTGCAGGTGCTATACCTGCAGGCCCCATGCCCTGCCACAGACTGCCTCAGTTTCCCCACCTGCACCTGGCTAACATCCTGGAATCCTCTGCTACCCGTGCCCTCCTCCTCCACAGTTCCTCTGGCCAGCAGCACGGGAGGGGGTGAAGGCTGGGGGACTGAAAGTTCAGGTTGATGTGCTGTGTGATCCTGGGCAAGTCCCCTCATCTGTCTGGGCCTCAGTTTCCCCATCTGTACAGATGTGGAGGGGAAGCAATAACCTGAAGCAGCTCTAGGTGAGAAGTGGCCGGCAGGCTAGGGGCCGTACCGTCATCCTGTCCTCTGCAGCTAGGGGACATGAGGCCATGACAAGCTCTTGTGCCTCAAGGGGAAGCAGGGCAGGGGCTCGAGGCCCTGAATGGGTGTTGGAGGGGGTCACTGTGCCGGGTTGCAGCTGGGGCTGCAGCAAGAAACCCAGCAGGCCGGTCTCTCCCTGCACACCCCCTGCAGGCCCCTCTGCCCTGCCCCTCCCACCCCCCCACCAGCTGGCCCGTCGGCCCCTACCTGTGCCTGATAAATGCCCGCTGGATCCCTTGGTCCTAATCCCACAAAGGAACGGTTTGCAGGGGACGTGCCGGGCGTAGAGTAGGCTGCGGGGAGGAGAGAGACCGAGAGCCCGTTAGCGAAGAGGGCCACGCGGGAGCACCCAGAGAGAGTGGCCGCTTGCCCAGGGTCACACAGCACCCGGTGCCTCCGAGCTCGCTGACCGCCCCTGGTTGTTGCGGGCACCCCCAAAAAAGCCCACGGTTGCGGGGGAGGGACCCGGGGTCATGCGGGTGGGCTGTCTGTTGGGGGGAAGGCAGAGGATGAAAGATTCATCATTCAGAAACCACCTGTGAATTATTCAGGGTGTTCCGCTGCCTGGTCCGCCTGCGCCTGCGCCGGCGCCCCTTGCGGGCGCGTGAATTATTGAGGGCATTTTACTTATTAATTTTCCTCCTGGAGAGGACATGGGGAAGACTGGTGTGTGTGTGTGTGTGTGTGTGTGTGTGTGTACACACTTGTATATCTATATATACTCACACACTTGTATTTTAACTTCACGGATTACATTCGGCTGGTGAGTGAATATTTCACAACCTGGTGCTCCGAGGCGGGCTTGGGGACCTCAGACAAGCTGGGACCAGGGAGGCAGGAGGGTCCCCTTGAGGTCTCAGCCTGGAGGCGAGGTGGGTAAGTTGGAGGCAGGGGTTTGGGGAAGGGGATGAGGGATCAGGCTGGACTTACAGCTGGTGCAGGAAAGGGAATCATGTTTACTCTGCATCTATTAAGCACCTATCATACGCCAGGCACTGGGCATGATCCTACTTAACCTTCAGCGGCCTCTCTGCAGCAAACACGATTGTCACCCCGTTTCTCGGACGAGCAAGTAAGTGGAGCAGATGGTGACCCACATACAGACGCTGCACTCCGTGTTCCCCCGACCTATGTTACCGACTGGCTCCCCACCACCCTGCCAGGGGACACTGCCCACCCCACTCTATGGCTGGGAGCGCTAAGGTTCAGAGAGGGAGGCCATTTGCCCAAGGTCGCACTGGGGGTGAGCCGCAGAGGCAGGATTTGAGTCCTGTATCCAACACCTGGCCCCTGTGCTGGAGGCACTGTCCTGGGTGTGCTGGGCATCGAGGGTGGGGAGGACAGGCGGGGGCCAGGTGAGGACTGCGTGTGGGGTACGGGGGCTGAGGGGGCCTTCTTGCACAGGTGAGGGGAAGGAGCAGTGGTGGCATGGGGTGAAGGGGAGACTGAGATAGTAGGGAGAGGTCTGGGGGCTCTGAGCTTTCTGTCCAGGGCCACCAACTCGGGCAGTTCGACTTTCAAGGGGCCGGGAGGCCCTGGGTGCCGGGCACCCAGTGAGAGGATGGTGGGGTTGGTGCCCAGAGGGAGGCAGCTTGGAGGCAGACAGATGGTCCGCCGAGGCTGTACCGGGGCCCAGGGTGGCTGGGCACAGCACCACCGCTAATGGGATACATCCAAAATGGGGGTTCCTGGGAGCTACCTGGCTTGGATCAGCCCTGGACTGGGGGGTGCATGAGCAGGGGGGTGCAGTGAGCGGGAATCTAACTACATCCAGAGAGAAGGCCACCAACCCAGCGCCTTCTACCGGGCTGTGACCTGAAACCACATACAGAGAGCAGAAAGTTCTAGAAGGTGAAATAGCCAACAGAACGCCTTCTGGGTGTTAGGTACATCAGCAAGTAGGTGAGGACTGTCCCTTCTCCTGTGTAACCCAGCTGGGGTCACCGGTGGGAATAGGAGCCAGGTAGCTAGTTTTCCCAAGAACAGAGAACTCTGGAATTTTCATGCGAAATGCTCTATTTGGAAACCACCACAGCTTCTCATTCACTACAAACGAAAGGCATCCGGGCGGGTGGAAGGGGCAGGTCTATCCCTCAGGCCACCAGCCCGACATCTTTGTCTAATGCCAGCTGCTCCCAGCACGAAGGCTTAGCGGCTCAGGGTGGGCACGCAGGGGAACCCAGACCAATGAGGGCAGACCCCAGACTTACCCCAGGCTTGCTGCTCTGGCCTGTCATCCCCTAAGGCTGCCTGGGCCCTGAGTGGACCTGATCTCATGGCCCCCCAGGCCAGTTCCCACAGGGCCAGGCCTGAGCCCTGGACCCCAGCACCGCTTCCGGAGTGCTTACAGGCTGAGCTCTGCGACGTGCTTCCTCCCTCGGAGGTGGGTTTGGTGGCAAAAGGGAGTGCCAGCCGCGGCAGCCCCGGGGGCGGGGGGGACAGCATCTGAGCGGAAAGGCAGTGACTGGCCATTTTGAGCTGACCACTTCCATTTAACTGGGGGGACAGAGAGACAGGTGGTTAAGGCGGCGGCTGCCCCTCTGCCTCGGGCTGCTGTTTGTGTGGCCGGGACGGGTCTGGCGGGCGCCGCTTGCTTGAGCCTGCGCGCCTCCAGCATCGCCTCCTCTTGAAGCCACTTGAAACCCACTGGCTTTCCTTCCAGATGATGTCGCCTCATCCTAAACCTCACTTGACCTGCACGCGTGTTTCCTCGTCCACAACCAGCACGTCCTCAGCTACCCCCGCGCCTGTGGTTCCGAAACCCTAAAATCCCTCAACACCAAAGGCTTTTTGCTGGCCAAAGCCAGCCTGAGCTGCAGCTATGGTGTCTGATTTCGGGAGCCTGGTAGAACTGGTGCCCAGTTCTAACAAGGGAAATAACTGTCCTCCCACCCGGTGCGGGTCCGAGCACTTGGGACGAGGGGCTCCGGCCCCGCCGCTCACAGAACCTTCCAAAGCAGATCTGCATCCTCCGACGGTGGCCGTGTGGGGTGCCAGGGCCCCAGGGAGGACGCCGGGGGCCACGGGTGTGCGCTGCAGGAGCCCTGAGGGGCGGGGGGAGACCCATGCCCTCCACTCACCGGTCCAGGCTGCTGGCTGGCGGGGTCGCAGGCCAGTGAGACGAGATCTTTGAGCGGGTCCTGGGGGTTGAGGTGAGGCGGGTAGCGGATGGCCGTGTGCGGGAAGTAGGTGGACGCGGTCTGAGGCAGGATGGAAGTCGTGGGGAAGTGTAGTGCCGAGGACGGGTGGGGACTCCGGGCAATCCCTGTGGAGGTGGACAAGGGGGTGGTCAGCGGGGGAGGCGGCCCTCCTGGGGCCCTTCCTCTGTGTCCGCCTGACGCTTGCGGGCGTGGGCCAGTCGGCATCTCGGCGTGAGAACAGTAATCATGACGCGCCGGTACCCTCGTCAGCTCCACACTCTGCTCTGCTCACCCCACTGGGGTCTGGTGTCACCCTTTTGTTTTGTGAACCGAGGATGACACGGTGGCCCTCAGAAGCTGCGGGCTGCACAGCAAGCAGGTGGCAGACACAGGGTTTGTGCCCAGGTCACCTGGCCCCACGCCTTTCTTAACCCCTGGCTCCACCGGCTTTCTCTGTAGTGGGACTGGGCGGTCAGTATTTCCTTCCAGTTGATATATAATTTTCACACCATAGAATTCACCCTTTCAGTGGTTCTTTAGCGCACTCATGCAGTTGTGCCACCATCATCTTCACCTTTCAGAACGTTCCCATCACCCCCAAAAACCCCTTCCCATCAGCATCACCCCTACCCCCTGGGTCCATGAACCCCTCATGACCCTGGGGCTGAGCCTGTTCTGGGCGCTTCTCATCAATGGACTCACACACCGCGTGGCCCCGCGTGTCTGGCGTCTTGCACTCAACACGGGCTGTGCGTCCCTTGAGTGTGACATAAAGGGACCAAGTTGAGGGGTGAGGTCCAGGCAGTGAAGCCAGAGAGCATAAAAGTGGAAACTGAGGCCACAGGAGACTGAGTCCTGAGTCCTGCCTCTCACGGGGGCTGGGACCAGGCCTGGATGCTTTCCACCACCTCCAGACTTCCTGGCTGCAGCAGTGCAGCTGGTGGTCAGACTGCGGGTGGGACAGGTCGGGGCCCAACTGCCTCCACCACCCCAGCTCCGCACTCACCACTGTGCACGGCGATGACAGGCCGGTGGTGCTGGGTGAAGCCTGAGAGGCGTGGCGAGTCCTGGGGAGACGGGCTATTGAACGGCGACTTGTCCATCTCTGTTTTCTTCACTGGGGATGAGATGCCTGTGTGGGCAGCAGGGCCAGAGGGTCACAGGCCTGTGGGTGGGGAGGTGCCACCCCAGGACTCCTGGACTTCTCCCCTGGCTCTGCCTTTCAACCTCCAGGGAACCTGTGGGCTGGGGGCTGAGAGCCCATTTCACAGAGGAGCAAACCAAGGCTCAGAGCAGAGAAGGGGGCTTCCCAGGGTCATGTGACCCCTGAGATGAGGAGCCAGTGCCAACAAGGGCCCCGGGTGTCACTGCCAGGCCCGCATCTTTTCCCCTCCCCTAGTCAGATCAGTTCAGGTTGCTCTGAGCAGCTGGAGGAGCCAGAGCTCCAGAGCGGGTGTCAGGGTGAACAGAGAGGAGTCCCCTGCCAAAGCCAGTCGGGCCGGAGGAGCTCCGCGCTCAGTCCCTTCATCGGTACCAGGGAAGAGAGCACCTTTCGTCCTGGAGGGTCAAGTGAGACACACTGGGCGGGGGTTGAGGGGAGGGGCCTAGTGCGGCCCACCCGCTGGGGTCACTGGCTCACTGTCATCCTCTGCTGGCTGCTCTGGGGGGCTGAGCCTCCCGCTCAGCCTCTCCCACCTGCCTCCGCGAGTGAATGAATGAATGAATGAATGAATGAACGGTATAAAACGGGTGAGTAGACTCCTCGGAGACCCCGGCAAGGAGTGAACACGGGTCAGGAGGCAGCCCTGTCATTGTGACGCTGACGGTGGACTGTCCCGCAGCAGGGGACAAGAAACATGAGTGCCCCCCTCTCCTGCCTGCACCCCCCTCTGCCATCCTCTGGAGTAGCTCTTCCTGGTGACGGCTAAGGTTGGTGGCGTGCCTGAGACACACAGGCCCCTGCGCCGCTGGAGCTAGAACTGTAGGGAGGTTAGAGCCCCTGGAACTAGAACTGTAGGGGGGTTATGCGCCCCTGGAGCTAGAACTGCAGGGGGGTTAGCATCCCTGGAGCTAGAACTGCAGGGGGGTTATGCGCCCCTGGAGCTAGAACTGCAGGGGGGTTAGCATCCCTGGAGCTAGAACTGCAGGGGGGTTAGCATCCCTGGAGCTAGAACTGCAGGGGGGTTAGCATCCCTGGAGCTAGAACTGTAGGGGGGTTAGCATCCCTGGAGCTAGAACTGTAGGGGGGTTAGCGTCCCTGGAGCTAGAACTGTAGGGGGGTTAGCGCCCCTGGAGCTAGAACTGCAGGGGGGTTAGCATCCCTGGAGCTAGAACTGTAGGGGGGTTAGCATCCCTGGAGCTAGAACTGCAGGGGGGTTAGCGTCCCTGGAGCTAGAACTGTAGGGGGGTTAGCGCCCCTGGAGCTAGAACTGTAGGGGGGTTAGCGTCCCTGGAGCTAGAACTGTAGGGGGGTTAGCGCCCCTGGAGCTAGCACTGCAGGGCTGGTGTGCAGATCGGCTTGTTTACAAATTACACTGGGAGGCACCTCCTCCACCCCGCTCAGCACAAGGTCCCCTACTCCAGGGTCTGTGGCCCCTGCCCCGGCACTGCTGACCTCGGCAGGGACATCTCTGTGGAGGCCATCCTGGGCACTGAGGAGTGTGGCGCAGCGTCCCTGGCCCCACCCACTTGATTCCAGGAGCACCCCCAGTTGTGACAACACAGATGTCCTGGGAGTCACCCTGTGTTCCCCGGGGGCAGGATCACCCCGCTGCGCGCTGTTGCACTCCTCTGGGGCACGCTGCACTGTGTCTGGGTTTCCGGCACCGGTTCTGTAAGTGGGTATGCGTGTCCCCTCCAGCCCTGTGCACCCTCAGCGGCCGCCTTCCTGGGTTCTGTTTGCACTGGCAGGTCTCCGCCCTTTCTACCAGCACGCCTGGGGGTGAACCGGATCTGGGAACCAGCCCCCTGCTGGCCACCAGGGCAGTCCGCTGCTTTTGCCCTTACAAGCCCTGCTGCCCTGGACTGCCCCGAGCACGCAGCGTGCCGTGAGAGTGGGTGTGTGCCGCGGACGTGGTCAGGAGCTTCAGCAGCCTGCTGGGGCGTCATCGGGGCTCAGGAGCAGGGGCCTGGTCTCCCAGGGAACAGGAGCTGCTTGGTGGGAAGGAGGGCAGACAGGGAGGGGTGCCCTAGTGGCTATGCGTGTGCTCATGCCCACGCGGGAGGCGAGGGCTCCCCACTGGTGCTGTGGCAGGAACAAGCAAGGGCTGTCAGCTGCTCACTTAGGAGCATTTCCTAGAACAGCCTGTCCTGGATGGAAATAGCCCGGAGTGGACTCCCCCACCCCCATCTCACAGGCCCTTCTAGAGCGTCCAGAGACAGGGAGGGAGCGGGAGCCTGGCCTGGGCACTGCACAAAGGATAAACCTTGGTGCCCTTGGGCAGGCTCTGAGACCCCCGCCCAGGTGAAACCCAGGTGGCACATCTCAGTCTGCCCAGGTCACCCTCACAACTGCCCAAGAGGCCACAGGCGCCACCTGCTTGTGCAATGTGGAGACTGAGGCCTGATGGGGGAGTCACTTGACAAGGTCACAGAGCCACAAAGTTCAAGGCCCAACCTATGTCCCCACGCTGCACTCCACCACCTCCTCCTGCCCGGAGTTCAAAGAGAGGTGGGAGAGGGAAGCACTCGGGCAAGAGGAGAAAGGTGGGGTTGCCTACTTCACCCCATGCACTACCCGCCATGTGGGGGGCCCGGCCTGTGGGAAGGTCACAGAAGCAGAGGAGCACTGTGGCCTAAGGAGAGGTGCCTTCCCTGGCCCGCCTGGGTGGGTAGTCAGGGAAGGCCTTGCGAGGGGCAGGAGGAAAAGGGGCACTTCTGGCCAGGGCTGGGGCAGCCAGCAGCCGGAGGCTGGCACCTGGGGCGGGGGAGCTGCCTTCTGTGGGGCTGGGATGCCCCAGGGAGGGTGGCTGATGGGGGCTGGGTTCAGGCAGCACTCCCTGCCCTGGCGGTGGCCACTGCGGAGGAAGGGGGCGGGCGCTCTAATCAGCTTAACACCCTTAATGAACAGCTAATTGGGGGCTGTCTAGACAGGAAGCTGGAGGAAGCAAGGAGAAGGAAAGGAAGGAGAAGGGCGAGGAAGACCGGGAGGAGGCAGAAGGGGGAGGCGGGGGTGGGGGGGTGGGGGGGTGAGGGGGGCAGGAATGGGTAGCTGGGGGGGCCTCTGGAAGCTGGTCCCTGGGTTCTCCGCCCCTGTGTGACCACTTGCTAGTGCTCTGGAGTAAGCGACGTTGCTTCTCTGGACCTCATGGATCCCCTCTTTGCCCCCTGCAAGATGAGGCTGCCAGTCCCTAGGGTCAGCATTATCTGGACTGGAAGAACTGGAAAGGGGGTACTGGTGGCAGGGGCTCCCCATTGCTGGGGCATGCTGAGCCCAGATCAGCCCTCACTTTGTTACTGGGGAGCCTCTGCCTGTGCCAGCGTTATCTGCAGTGTGAGTCTGCTTTCCAGGCACAGCAGGGAGCGTCCAGGACATCCGTAGCTGTTACACTGGGGGTGCTCCTGGCATCAAGGGGGTGGGGCCAGGGATGCTGCTCAACACATCCCCACAGTGCTCAGGATGGCATCCCTCCTTGCCCTCCCAGACAGGGACTCGGGCTGATGTCGGCCGTGGCAAGAGGAGAAATTGTGGCATATGCCTTTGCTGGTTATGCCCTTCCATCAAATTCCCTGTACCCAAATCCCCCCGGGAAGCCTTCTTCTCATGTCCTCCCCTTCCCTACTGCTCCTTAGCTGTGAATTAATAATAACCCTAGTTTTTATGACCAACTGCATACTTTGGGTTAAATCTTGGGCTAAGGGCATAAAATTCTATTTACCCCTGCTAATCTCTTCCTAGGAGGCAGGCGGTGCCACTGGTAACCTAATCCTCTAGGAGAGAAACTAAAAGCCCAGAGAGGGTAAGTGATCTGTTTAGGGTCATACAGCCAAAAAGGGGACAATAAACCAGTTAATATAAGACCCCAAAGTCCTCACTGCTCTGCCATCCGGACTCCCCTCCTGTAGGAAGCCCTCACTGTTCTCACCAGGATGCACTTGCGCCTGGTGGAGGGAGTTTGCCATTACTGGAGGTAACCAAGTGGCAGCTGAAGGGGGACACACCCGGGAACCCCCATCTATTCTGTGGTCCCCCATTGCACAGCAGAAGCTGACACGGGTTCCTCCCTGTCCTCCCCCATCACGGCCACTCGCTCTCAGGCAGGAGGGCTGGAGCCCCCTGCGCCTCCGATGTTTCCATTCTTCTGAAATTTTCTTTTTCTTTTTTGAACTTTCTAAAGTGAAGCCAGCAGGTCCTAAAGGGTTTTTTATTTCCACTCGTTTTCTTGTCCTAACCAATAGACTTAAAGCTGTAATTTTTCCATTCAGGGCTGCTGTGGCTACACCATGGAGGCTCTTTCAGCACTTTATATGCGGACAGCCTCTTCAATCACAGAGGTACAGAGAAGTGCTTCTGAGATCTCCAGCAGTTAATGACAGGGTAGAAGCTAACTGTCTCCCCTTGTTCTCTAGCAACAACTTCATTTCGAGTTGTGCACATAACTGCATCCCTTGTGCCAGAGTATGCTCACATGACTAACACCTGATATGAGACGCTGGAAAATGCAGTCTTATTTTTGGGCAATTAAATGCCCATCTCAAAATGCCCATCTGCTTATCTCTATAAGTAGAAAAGGTAGGTAGGGCAACTTCTGAGAATGAGTCTTGAAAGGAGAGCGTATGCTTAGATTTGATCCTTATTTCCAGCTGGCTGGAAAGTAGACATGATGGCTGGAGCTCCAGCAGTTATCTTGGAGCTTGAGGTGGGAATGAAAACCACAATTAGTGGGGCATAAGGCAGGAGCCTAAATCCTTCACATCACACTTGCCAAGGGCTAAATATGGCTGGACATTTACTTGCAAGGGAAATGCTTTTGGGTAGTTTGTCTCACAATTAAACTGAAGCTTATTGGATAAAGGGTTTTTAAGGAGACAAACTTGATAGATGGGGGAAACCACAGATATACAACCATAGAGACACATGGATCCATAAATCAGAGCTTAGTAAATGGAGAGACAGGTTCTCCCAGTATTAGGTACCTGCTTTGGGAGACCACACTGTGGAAAAGGGAGGACTCTTAGGATCTCAAATGTCACAACCAGATGCCTTAGACACTGATTCAAAGAGAAGAGAATGTTGTGAGAATATTGTGCATGTTGTTCCATAGCTCTGAAGGAAGAATTATTGTTCTCATCATTCCCACTTTGGAAAGGAGGTAACTGAGAAGCAGAGCAGTTAAGTCACTCGCCCAAGTTACAGTCAGTGTCAGAGCTGGGGTTTTAACTCAGGTCTCTCTTATGCCTGAACCTGCCCTCTTATTTATTTATTTATTTATTTATTTATTTATTTATTTATTTATTTATACAAGCATGGGGTACAGTCAGAAGCGCGGGAGGATGAGAGAATTCACCAGAGCCAGAGCGGGGAGCAGAGCAGGCAGAAGGACCGAAGCACACTGCTGAGGGGAGCAGCGGGTGGCAGGAGAGGTCTGCGCACCATGTGGGACCCTCCTCCAGTGGCCGGGGAGCAGCCGGGGATCGAACCGGCGCCGCAGAGGTCGCGGGCAGCCTCACAACCCAGCGCTCAACCGCTGCGCCATCCGGGAGGCCCTGCCCTCTTAATTTTAATGTGATACTGCTTTTCAAGGATTCTGTAGGTATTATACTTTGTAAGGATCTTTATAAGAACGATTTTTATAACAAAGTGGACCCTAAGGAGCTAGATAGGAAGGGAGAAGAAAACAAGTCCTAAGGGTTGAGGGCTTATGTGCCAGGCCTGTTTTAGGGACATCACTTAATCCCCACAACAATTCTATAAGGCTACCCCATGGGGTGAACCCTTCAGAAGGGCTGGACAGAGAGATGATTTTAAAATCTGTGGGCACAGACCTCACTGAGTATCCGAGGAATGCCAGGGCGCTCCCCCAGTGTAGCCTACAGTCCACTTTGCACACCACTTCCTGAGTATCACAGATGCCAACCCACTAGAGGGCTGAACTTAAGGTGAAAGGGACTCTAGATGAGAACTGTGGTGGCCATGAGGACCCCAAAGAAGAAAAATCTTAGGACAAAGCCCTTGAGGAGATGGTAGTAAACAAAGAACTTGGAGGAGCTGGTGTTTAATAGACAAAAGACCCTATGGAGCTGCTGACCCTACAGAATAGGAACCCCATGAGAAAGACACTGACCAGAACCCTACAAGGATGGAAGAGGAAAAGAACACAATCTCCCTGGGAAAGGATGCTATGAGAAAAGAGCAATCACAGAGAGGAAGGGCCTCGCTGGTGGCGCAAGGGGTTAAGCACCGCACTATGAAGCTATCCTCAGCCACTGCAGCACGAGTTCGATCCCCGGCAGGGAGAAACCACATGGCGTGGCAGACCTCTCCTGTTACACCTGCTGCTCCCCTCAGCAGTGTACGACAGTCAATCTGCCTGTTCTGTTCCCCACTCTGTCTCTGGTGAATCCTTCCCACCCCCCCGCGCCCGCATCTCTGGCCTGTACCCTAGCTCTTGTATGCATAAATAAATCTTAAAAAAAAAAAAAAGGAAAAAAATTTCCAAGGAAGACCCCAGTAAGAAGTTTGCCTCATGGTCTATGGCAAACCAGGAAGAAGTACCCCCTCGATCAGTGCTGCTACTGAACCGATTCTGTAGATCTGGGACCCAAGGAACAAGGCTCTTAACCAGCAAAGGGTGGTTGCACAAGATGACTCTCTGCCCTCTCCAGCCTGAGCAGAACCAAAACGCTCTGGGGATAGAAATCAGACTTCCCCAGCCCGCGAGACTACAGTTCCCAGGAGGCCCCGCGGCTCAGGCCACTTCCCCGGCGCCCACGCAGTGCCTGCCGGGACACGTAGTCCCGGCCGCGATGACCCCGACCGGAAGACCGGCTGCGCCCCCGCCGACAGCCCCACCTCCTTCCATGTCCTCCGTCCAGTTGCGGCTGCTACTCGTGGGAGAGCTGGGCGAAGTGTAGTAATCGCCACCGGGGCTTGTGTCCACGTCTTCCTCCATCGAGCCCGATTTGTGCCGCTTGCTCCTACCGTGAGGTAAAGAGTAAGCAGGCCGGTTACCACGGAAACGGGGCGGGCGGGCTGGGCTGACTTCCGGCCTCGGGGGCGGGGCGAGGGAGGGCGCGGCCGCGAGGCCTCGCGGGAGCCGCGACGCCCCGTCAGCGTCCGGGTCAGCCGGCCCGTGGCTCGGACGGGACTCCTGGGGTGCGGGGCCGGAGGCACTCGGCCTAGGTCCCACAGCAAGCCAGGGTGGAGGCTGAAGCCTCAAAGACCTGGTTAATCGTTTGGCCGACTGTACTCCTCTGGTCAGCCCGGAAGGGTCGTGATCCCATTTTACAGATGGGGAGACCGAGGCCAAGCTCAGGGTCACACAGTGTGTCAGCAAGAACCTGAGTCCGCATCCTCGCGGAATCTCAAGGGCTGGAGGCTCTGGAAGCCCAGAATGGGCTCAGGCCTGGGGAAAGAGGCCTTTAGGACTGGGTTTTAGAGCATGGGGATTCGTTGTCTAGGTGGGAGGGAAACAGGCATACCAGGGAGAGGACCGAACAAGCTGGGGTCAGATGGAGTGGATGGGGGTTGTGATCTGCCCAGAGGTGGGGACCCCAGCACGTACCCGCTGGAGGAAGTGCTGGGTAGCGTTCTTCTCATGCCGGTGCTAGCCGGATTCAGGTCGTAGGCCAGGTGCCCTTGCAGCTCCCCCAGGGAGAAGTTGGGTCCTGTTCCAGTCACCACGGGTGCTGCAGACGGTAACATAGAGGAGAGTAAGGGAAGGAGTAAGGTTCGGGGTCACAGTTGGACCTGGATGGGTGGAGAGAGCCTCTGGGGCAGGCAGTCAGAAGGAAAACAACTTCCCAAATTGGTCTGGTTCAATGGATCAGAAGACCAAGGCTGTCAAGAAAGACCAAGGTCACACTGGGAGCCAGAGGCATAACCAGAACTGGAGGCCGAGCTTCCCAGTCCTCCCAGAGGCCAGGCTCTGCTGAAGTGGAAAGGGAGGATGAGTGATGGGCAAGCAAAGTGCCTACAAGTCCCTGGGAGTGTCTAGGAGAGAAGTGTGGGTTCCTAGTAAATCAAGGCAAAGCAGGTAGGAGGGGTAGGGCTCTTGGGGGTCCCCTCCTTGGACAGGGTAGGGGAGGCCTCAGGAAGAAGTGATGGATACTGGAGTGGGAGGTCATCATCCCTGTCCATAGCATTTGGAGTACATTTCCTGGGAGAAGCACGTCTCCTTGAGCTTGAACTCTGGCAAGGGCCAGATACTGCCCTGCCTGGGAACCTGGGACTGGTGGTGGGTTGGCTGGGGAGGATGAAGGGGAGCAGGGTAGAGCTGGGTCCTTCCTTCTCCCTGAGCCCTTACCCCTCCAAGGTCCCAGGGCAGGGTGGGGGCACTTACTCCGCGACACTTGGATTAGCTCGGTGACACTGAACACACCGGAAGTGACGAAGCTCTCCTGGAAGTCGGTGGTGTCTGCAACAGGGAGAGCATGAGGTTCAGGGGGTGGCTGCATAAGCCAACTCTCCTTCCTTGATTACCCCCCTCCCCCATCCCCTGGGACTTCCCAGACTGTGGGGCTGGACACATTTCCTGGGGGACACCCTGTGTACCCCCTGCAGCACTACAGAGAAGGGGGTGGTGAGGCGAAGGTGGCCAGTTAAGCTCCTCCCAGTCGGACCAGGAGTCCCTCCACCCTAACAGCTGGACTGGACATTCTTTTCTGAGACTCCCTTTAATCGTCAGGCTCAGCCACCCCCCACCCCATGGTGGGCACTTTATCCAGTCAGGGCCTTTGCGCACATCCCCAGCTGCATGGGGGCAGCCCTTTATGCTGTGTCAGGCTGTACACACCAGTGGAGGCCGGACCAAGTCTCCCACTCAGTGATCTTGAGTGTCAGGGCTGGGGAAAGAGGCACTTGGGACTGGGTTTTAAAGGACGAGTAGGAGTTTCCCAAGTGGAACTTAAAAATAGGCAAATACAACGTGACCAGCTCATGGTCACACAGCATATCTCAGCAGGAGCTGCTGTCAGCATTCTCGAGGCCGCTCAACAGCTGGAGGGTGTGGGAGCCCAGAGTGCGGTATCCAGGGAGAGGAACGAACCAGCTGGGGTTAAATGGAGATGGGTGTGTCCCCAGAGTGGGGACCACAACATGTACTCCCCGGGAGAAACTTGATGCTTCTAAATCTTCAAAATGGGGACCATATGCCTGGTCATCCAGGTCGTTGTGAGCTATGCGTCAGGCACGTAGCACAGCTGCCTGCTTTCTCTACGTCACTCATTGCCCTGTGCAGTCCTGCAGGTTTTTTCCTCTCTATAGACTAGGGGCTCCATGAGGATGAGGTGTCTGGCCAGTCCCTCCAGTGTCCTCAAAGCCTGGCAAAAAGCAGGGGCTCAGGACCATGGGGCGGGGTGGAGGGGCCATAGGCAGCAGTTAAAATTCCTGCAGTGTCCGCAGAAACACTCCTGAACCCTCTCCAGGCTGGGGTGGTTTGGATTCACTTCATGAATTTGGAAACTGAGGTTGGCTCCAAGAGAGCCTTAGATAACTTGGGGCAGGCCAAACCCGGAACCCCTGTGCGTCAGATCATTTTATTCAACAAGCATTTACTGGGCCTCTCCAGTGTCTGATGCCCAGCCAGGTGCTTGGGGACACGGGAGATGAAGACAGATTTCGGAAGTGGCTGCTCCCTGGGCCTCACAGTCACGTGTGGTTAAGGATGCCACATGAGCTCAGTATGTCAAGGAGCACGTGCCCAGATGTTCACACGGCGTGATTATGTAGCCTATGCTGGAGACACCCGAGACGTCCGTCAGTGGACACGTATAGAAACACACGTGCCCACCACACTAGAATATTATTCAGCCGTGAAAAGGAGGGAAGCTCTGATATGGGTTTCAAGGTCCAGGTGGGTGGGCCTTGGACACAAGATGCTTGGGGAGAGAAGCCAGAAACACGAAGCCACACAGAGCGAGTCCTGGTGTGAAATGTCCAGGACAGGCCCAGCCACGGAGTGGGTTTGTGGTGCCAGGGCCTGGGGGAGGGGGAGGAGGCAAACTGCTGGTGGGGACGGTTTCTTTCTCTTCCTTTCAAACCCCTGCCTTTTCTTTGCCTCCAGCGTTGCCCTTCCTCCCTGCTCGCCTCGCTCCCTCCCTCTCTCCCTTCAACATTCCCCCTTGTTTTCACTCTTGCACTTTCACGTATGCATGTTACTGTATTATAATAATACACCCAAGCTGTCCTTGGAAAGTCTGCCTCTGCCAAAAAAGTGTGAATTTCTCGAAATCAGGGATTCTGTATTCTCGGTGCCTGATGTCTCGACAGGCGCATAATACAGCTCAGACAGTGAAGTGTCGCTCCAGGCTGTTCCCATGTCTGCTCCTCTCTCCTTTCTCTTTCCCCCACCACCATCCCGCGTGCCCCCTTGTCCCCCCCACCCCAACCTTGACCTCAGGGATATTTACTGATGTCCACTGGTTTTTGAAAGTGTTTGGGGTTATGGAATTGCCCACTCCGTCAATGTCCAGTGTTTGTTTTTACCATTCTGACAGACCTGGCTGCACATAATTCTCTCACATTCCCTCCCTGAAAATCCTTGCATTTCCTCCTTCCTTATAGCTGCACACAGCAGGGAGCCTGTGGGGGTTGTGCTGACGGTTCCACATCCTGCGGACAGATGCCCCGGAGTGGGGTTGCTGGGTTGTACATTTCCCTTTTTATTTTTTTAAAGGGATATTCAGATTTCCTTAGTGGTTGCACCAATTCCCGTGGCCATCAGCTCTGTAATGGGGCTCCTTTTTCTGCGCGTCCCCTCCAGCACTTGTTATTGGGGGTCTTTTTATGATGTGCTCTTCTCAGTGAAAGGTCCATGCAGGAGGCCTGAATGCAGGAGCCAACCAGGAAGCCCACCTGGGGGGCAGGAATGCGGATACCTGCCTGAGGACTCAGACAATGAGCCTCCCCCTAAGCGCGCGGGTGAGGACCCACAGTCAGGCACCCCGTTTTGTATCGGGGTTGCTCTACAACACCCCCTCCCCCTAGGAGTCTCATCTCAGACAAAGAACCTCTACCTGCCCTACAAACTTTTCCCGCCCTTCGAGCCCAACTACCCACCTGACCTCTCCTCGCCCTATAAAACCCTGCTTCCCCCTAACAACATGCGCGGCTTCACTGACCCCCGTCTTGGTCTGTGAGGTCCGCCCGGGGCGCAATAAACTTTCCCTCCCTTTGAGAACTGTAGCCTGGCTCTCCTTGTCTTTACCGCGCCGAACCTTTCATCTTGGTGCCGCAAACCCGGGAAGGCCGTGTCCCCTGGCGCCGGGGCCGCCTTCTCGTCCCTGGGACCTCTCCTCTCCATTGCAGACGCCTCACACCCACCACCGGCCTTAATCCTTGGGGTAAGTCACTGCCTGACCCTCCTTCCTGGGAGGCCCTCGCCTCTGGCTATTCGGCTCCTCTCCTGACTCCCGTACGGTACCGTGGTTGGCTGTTCCGTAAACCGTGGGCCCACGTCAGCCAACTCCCGTACACCTAGACCCTGGATCTGGGGACGCCCTTCCAGACTAGGTGCCCGAATCCTAGGCGCAACCGAGCGGTGGAGACGTCCCCCTCGCTTGTCTGCCTCCGTTCTGAAGGCCAGGACCGAATCGGGGGACGCCGCGATTCGGGGCCTGCGCCCCCGACGGCCAGTTCAGGTTCGTGGGACGCTGCGTCCTGACTCTGCCCCCGTAAGTTGGGAAAGGAGCCGACTTAGTCATGGGGTCCGCAAATTCCAAGCCGAGCCCGGCCACTCCACTGGGATGCCTTCTCTCAAACCTCAGTCCGTTGGGACTTAGGCCGGATATACGCCCTAAGCGTCTGGTCTTTCACTGCAACACTGCATGGCCTCAGTATCAATTGGACAATGGTTCCCATTGGCCCGAGCATGGCACTTTTGACTTCTTGGTCCTTACAGACCTAAACAATTCTGTCACCGCAGTGGAACATGGTCAGAGATCCTTAGGGCCAGGCTGTCTTTCTCTTGCGCTCCGCCCTTTCCCTCCCTCCTGAAAACCTGCCGTACTTTCTAAGTCCCTCTCTCTCTTTGCCCTCTGCAGACCCCTCTTCTGCATTCTCTAATCCTCTAAATTCTCAGTCTTCACCTCCTCCAGCTCCCCAATCCAGCCCCTCCCCCCCTTTCTTTTCACCTCCCAGCTGCCACACCCTCTCCCTGCTAATCCTCTTCTCCCTCCCCGCAGGTAAGTGGGTGGGACTGAAGGAGGAGTTAGAATCCATGTTCCTTTCTCTGTCTGATCTCTCCCAACTTGAAAAGCGTCTTGGCTCTTTCACAAACTATCCCACTACCTACACCTAAATTTCATGATCTTACCCAAGCCTATGACCATACATGTAATTACATGTTATCTTCTCTTCCACCCTGACCTCTGACCTGTCCCCTAGCTGGTCTCCAACCGGCAGCGCCTAAACCTATAAACATTCATAAGCTCAAAAACATTACCTAGTCTTCCTCAAAAAACCCTCCTGACTTCCAAAGGCTGAAAATGGTCCTCAAACCCCTATCCGGGACCTGCTGAACATGGCCTTTACAGTATTTAACAACCAGGAGGAATGGGACAGGGCAGAGAGGGAACTCCGCAGTTGCCAGAAGGCTGAGCTTCAAGCTCAGGCCCCAGTAGCTGCCTTGAGACCACCAGGCCCTGCTCCTCCAACGACCGCAGCGCCTGCTGCCCAACAGAGGACGACAATGGGCCCCATGGGCCCCAAGCAACCGACCGCCGCCGAAGCCTGCTTCAAATGTGGCCAAGAACACTGGTCCAGACAATGCCCCAACCCCGCCCTCCGCCAGGACCGTGCCTCATCTGCAACGTCCAGGGTCACTGGAAAAGTGACTGTCCCTCCACACCTGGCTGTGGTGGGCCAGTCCTTCCAGTCCCTGCAACTCTTGCCACCGGCGGTCTTGGGTTCGGCGGCTGAGGACTGAAGAGGCCCGGACTCATCAACTCCGATAACCTTCGAGGAGCCCAGGGTAACGGTCAAGGTAGCAGGTAAGTCCATCTCCTTTCTGGCTGACACGGGGTCTACCTTCTCTGTCCTCCCCTCCTAATCCAGTCAAGTTTATCCTTCTCAGGCCTCGGTTACGGGAGTTGACGGCCTTCCTTCTCAGCCCAGGACCACTGGTCCCCTCTTTCCTAGTCATGCCTCCTTGCCCCACACCACTCCTGGGTCACGATCTTCTGACCAAACTCAGGGCTACTCTCTCATGGTTCCAACACCCTAGCGCTGCTCTCATCCTCCCACGACTCCAAACATCTCCTAATCCTTCTCAGGACTTCCCGCTGTCTCCTTCCACTGTCAACCCCCTGTTCTGGAATATCTCTATCCTGATTGTTGCCACCCATCGTACCCCAGTCCTCATTCGCCTTAAGGATCCCTCTTCTTTTCCCTCTCTCTCCCAGTTTCCAATCTCCCTCA